CTGTACAAGCCTCACTTTTATTGTCATCTTTTATCCTTAAGTTCAGACTACATTGGATTTATTGGCAATAGGTCTTGCCAGTGAATGGCACTTTCATTTTTGTTTTGCATACTTAATTATCATGGAATAAGCTATATCCATACCAAATTTCATTTATTTATATTCAGTATTTTTTGAGATATGTGAGAAAATGTCTTCCATCTTCCATCTCGTAATTTTGTCCACCAGTGTAGTTTGTTATAAAATTTTAGCTATTTTAGTTAGTTGACTTTCCATCAGGACTTCTAATTGTGAAACTTAGTTAGATTATTAATATAAATGACCGACTCTTTTCCGTGAAACATTTTACTTACTCTTCTACCAGTCTTTAATGCGAATATTTGATAGAGACCCATCCAAGCTTCTTTAAACATTCCTAATCCATGGAGTAAAATAATTGGAGCCTTTTCTGCATTTTTACCTCCTTCTACAACTCGCATGCAAGAATATGATAGCTGTAATTCTTTTTTCGATCTGAAAAAAATGTTTTATTTTTCACATTGAGTTAGAGAGAAGTTTAACAAAAACAATAGTTTTATTTCTGAGAGTTACAGTCTTCAAACTCTAGGCATATTTTGGTATTCTAAGCATCTAGAAAATTGGATGCAAATATTGAACTTTTCTTAATACTTTGACGGACATTACAGTTTTTATGTAATTCATAGATAATAATTTTTATTTCTTAGTTTAACTTTATATACATACATATATATATATATATCAAGAAGAAGATAAAACAAAGAAAAATTATATGCAGATAATATAGAAATTTTTTCAAAAATTTCCTCCTTTTTTCTTTTTTTTTTTAATCAGTTGTTTTTTATATTTTTCACTAATTATTATTCTCCCCCCCCCTTTTGCATATGTCTATAATTTTCCTTTGTTTTATCTTCTTTTTGAACTTATCTAATGAGTTCTGTTTACTTGCAGCTTATGCGCAATAAATGAAACTTATTGTTTTTCTTAACTTTCTTCGTGTTTTCTTGCATTTATTTATTTTGTTGTATATATATATATATATATATTGTTGAAGCCGGTATGTAAACAGTAATAGTAGCGCCACCTACATTAATTAGAAAAAAAAGTTACTTCCTTGTTGGATATCATTGCGTCTTGAGATAGATCAACGCGCTGTTCTTAATAAACGCATATTAATAATTAATTCCTTATTCATTATTTTTGCTGTTGTTTATCTAAAATCAGATCGACATTATCCTTATGAGCTCGTAATATACGAACCACGCAAACCCGCAAACGCAATCAAATACAAAATATAAACATGGTGAAGTCGAGCCGCAGCATAGCTCGTGAAGATAGTGTTGCGCATTAAATAGTTATTGCGCATTAAGTAATCAACGCCTTCCATTGGATAACTAACGCATGATATGGTAATATATTCTAAATTTATCCCGAAGAAGGGGTAAGTAGACTTTATAGATATTTTGAACCATTTTAGACATTAAACATGGCAAAAGAATTAGAACTCCAAAAATTGAAAACAAAGCTGTCTTCTGTACGAAGATCAGTAACTGGTTATTTGAAAAAAATAGAAGGTAATTTATCAGTAGAAGAAATTAATTTTGATGAATTGTCGGAAAACTTCGAGCTATTAAAAATAAAAGAAACGGAGTTAAAAAAGATAAACTCTGCAGTAGAAAATCTTATTGAAGATGTAACTGAATTGAATAACGAACTAGATAATGTAAACGAGTATGAAGAAAAAATTGTATTATGGAAATTTCGCAGCGAGAAAAAACTAAAAGAGCAACCGAGAAATTAGTCAGTTTTTTCTGCTCCAAACTTCGAGAAAAACGCGAGTGAAAATATAAAACTTCCGAAACTCTCCTTACCCTTTTTTAGCGGTAATATTACCGAATGGCTAACCTTTAAAGATTTATTTAAAGCCACCGTAACAAAAAATGAATCGTTATCAAACGCGCAAAAGCTTCAGTATTTAAAGACATCTTTAAAAGGAGATGCCTCGCGAATCGTTCAATCTATCGCAATTTCAGATAACAATTTTGAAATAGCTTGGAATTTGTTAGACGAAAGGTATTCAAATACAAGAGAACAAACTTTCGCTCATATTAAACGCTTTTTAAATCTTCCGAATATTCATAATGAATCTGCTACAGCTTTATTAAGCTTGGTTGATAATGTAAATGAAATTTTTCACTCATTAGAAACTTTAGGCCAAAAAATGGATACTTTTAGTGACACTATAATGTTGTATTTAATATTGCAAAAGTTAGATAGTTCCACTAAATTGTGGTGGGAGCGTCAATTGAAAAATACTGAAATACCCAAACTCAAAGATTTAATAGAATTTCTGAAAAGCTATGCTAGAACTCTTCAAAACAGCAAAAGTTCTTCAAGTAAATTTCAAAAACCTATTATAGCTAAAGTCAATTCTTTTGTTTCGCTTTCTTTATGTGTATATTGTAAAGATAATCATTACATTTCAAAATGTTCAAAATTTTGTAATTTACCAGCTCATCAAAAGATTGATTTCGTTAAAAATAATAATCTTTGTTATAACTGTTTATCAGGAATTCACACTATAAAAAAATGCAAATCTTCTAACACCTGTTTTAAGTGTAATCGCAGACATCGCAGCTCTTTGCATAGAGATGAGAAACCGAAACCCTTTTTTCCCTCTTTCAGTGCCCCTGAATTTATACCCAGAGCAGATGAACAGAAATCAACGACGCCATCAGCCGCGCCTATTAATGAAGTTTCGTCTACAGTTTGTGCGAATTATTCGAATAGTGAGCAATTGGGCGATAACATAAATCAAAGGAATTCTTCAGTTCTTTTATGCACAGCTATAGTCAAGATTATAAATTCTCAAAACGAATCCATTAACTGTCGAATTCTCTTATACTCGGGTTCTGAGAAAAACTTTATTACTCGCGAATGTGTCAGCAAGTTAAAACTAAAAATAAATCCCGCTCAAATATTTATTTCTTGTTTAGGAAGTAGTAATACTTCGAGTAATGGGCAAGTAGATTTATTATTTTCGCTACATTTTAATGATAATTTAAGATTCTCAACATCCGCATATGTTATTGATAAAATTTGCGGAAAAATACCAAACTCTTCCATGCCAATTGATTTGTCTAGAAAATATCAAGATCTAGTACTAGCTGACCCATATTTTTGGAAATCAGGAGATATTGATATTTTATGCGGTGTGGCTCCCTTTCGCAGTATGCTTTAAACTAGGTTGGATAATTTCCGGAGCAACTACTTTTGAATGCGCTAAAACCAAACAAATTTCAGTTAATAATTTTAATATTAGTACTAATGACCAAAATTTAAATAGCAAAAATGAGCACTATTTTATCCCGCATCATCACGTAATTAATGATTCTAGTCCAACCACAAAATTGAGGGTTGTTTTTAATGCCAGCGCAAAAACTACATTCGGGTTATCACTGAATGAAACTCTAATGAATGGTCCTAAAGTACAAGACGATCTTTTCGCTATTCTTCTAAGGTTAAGATGTTACAATATCACGATAACATGTGATTTGCAAAAAATGGATCGGCAAATAGAGATTCATAGTGAAGATCGTAATTTTCAAAAAATTCTATGGAGAGATGATCCCATGAAACCAGTTAGGGAATATCGCTTGTACCGTAACATATGGTACCGCGCCGACCAGTTATTTGGCAACGCGAGTTTTAAAACAATTAGTCACCGATGAAGGATTAGATTTTCCTAAAGCAGCTAATTTAGTCTTACATAATTTTTACATAGATGACGGCTTGTTTGGAGCAGAAAGTGCTGACGAAGCTGTTGCATTAATAAGTGAACTTAGTGAGCTGTTGAGAAAAGGAAAATTCGAGCTTCACAAATGGTGTACCAATAGTTCTTCTGTTTTGGAATTTTTAAGTCAACCTAAAAATATTAAAATTACACCAAGTAGAACTGCTGACTCTAAATTTATTAAGGTGCTAGGGTTGAGATGGGACCCAAACCATGATGAGTTTACTTATAACATTTCCTTTTGTGAGGAGTTTAAGGATGAAAATCCTACTAAAAGGTCCATCCTGTGCATCAAAAATCTTTGATCCACTGGGATGGCTATCGCCTATTATCATAACGGCAAAAATTCTAATTTAGGAATTATGGAAGCATGAGTTGGCTTGGGATGATCCAGTGCCTCAGGATATTAAAGAGCAGTGGATTAAATATCGAGCAGATATTTCCCAAGTTACGTTAACTGTACCTAGAAAAGTTCTTCTATACTCTTCATCTGGAATAGAACTTTATTGCTTTTGTGATGCGTCGGAAAAGGCGTACGCCGCAGTTATATACTTAAAATCAACTACCATCACCACTACACATGTTAGTGTACTTATATCCAAAACACGCGTAGCACCATTGAAAACAATATCAATACCGCGCCTTGAACTTTGTTCAGCCGTTTTATTAGTGGCCTTTTACAAACGGTCCTCAAGTCCTTGACTATTCAAATTGACGCAATACGCGCTTTTACGGACTCAACTACAGTTCTTTCATGGTTGAAATCTGAGCCATCACGTTGGCAAATTTTTGTTGTCAATCGTGTTTCCGAAATTCAATCTATTCTTCCAGTTCAACATTGGAATCATATCAGCTCTGGTCAAAACCCTGCTGATTGCGCTAGTAGAGGACTTCCATCAAATGAGCTAGTTAATTTTGATTTGTGGTGGTCGGGTCCGTCTTGGATGAAAAGTGGTGAAATATCGCATTTGGAGGAAATCCCTCTCTCAACAGACGCTCTCAAAGAAGAACGTAAAAAGACATCGTGTTTGATTGAAACAACTCCTATTGACTTTCCGATCATTTACAATGTTTCATCATACGTTAAGTTAAAAAGAATTATAGCTTGGTGTCTTCGCTTCATAATGAACTGTAAATCTCCGAACAATCGCATTAATAGTTATTTAGCTAGTAGTGAGATAAAACTAGCTAGAAACGCTTTGGTCAAAATAGTCCAAAAACAAGAATTTCCAAACGAATATCACCAGCTAAAAAATAACAAACCAATTTCTTCGAGTAGTAGGATCCTCTCCTTGAATCCGTTTTTGGATGAAGAGGGCCTTATCCGTGTTGGCGGTAGGTTAGAAAATATGCAATTATCGAATGAAAGAAAACATCCTATTCTCCTACCGAAAAATCATCACTTAACTAATCTAATTATAATTATCATGAATCTTTCTTGCATGCTGGAACACTTTTACTAGTATTAGTTATTCGCAAGGAATTTTGGATAGTAAATGCTAGATCAGTTATAAAAAAGCAAATCTGGAAATGCATAAAATGCTTTCGATTAAAAGAAAAAACCGCGACACAGATAATGGCTCAATTACCACCTTCAAGAGTAACGCCTTCTAGAGTATTTTCCAAGACTGGTCTGGATTATGCAGGTCCATTTTTTGTGAAACCGCGATCTGGACGTGGAGTCAGATCAGTTAAAATGTACATTTGTATTTTTGTGTGCTTCGCGACAAAAGCGGTGCACATCGAAGTTGTTGGAAATTTATTTGCTGAATCATTTATTGCAGCTCTAAAAAGATTTGTTGCACGAAGAGGAAAACCAAATGAATTATTTTCAGACTGTGGTTCAAATTTTGTTGCTGCAAATAAGGAAATGAATCGAGTGGTTAGATCCCTTCAAAAAGACGAATCTATCCATCAGTATTTTGCCGATGAGCAAAATAAATGGCACTTTAACCCACCTTCAGCACCTCACTTTGGAGGAATATGGGAAGCTGCTGTGAAATCCGCAAAATTGCATTTGAAAAGAACAATAGGTGATCATAAATTGACCCTTGAAGAGTTTTTAACTCTTACTGCACAAATTAAATCCTGCCTGAACTCTCGTCCTTTGTGTCCTGTGTCGGACGATCCCGCTGAACTTTCAGCACTTACCCCAGGACATTTCCTTGTGGGAACCTCTCTTTCTTCTATACCAGAAGAGAACCTTCTAAACGAAAACATACTCCCATTAAAACGTTGGCAGTTGACTCAAAAACTTTTCCAGAATTTTTGGAAAAGATGGGTTAACGAGTATATTTCCAGCTTACAGCAGCGCCTCAAATGGTTGCGAGTACAGCCTAATTTGAAAATTAACGTTTTAGTTCTCATTAAAGAAGACAATATTCCACCTTTGAAGTGGAAATTAGGGCGTATACAAGAAGTTTTTCCTAGTGCTGACGCTAAGGTAAGAGTGGTCAGTGTCAAAACTGAGACTGGAACTTATAAAAGACCCATTCACAAACTGTCAGTTTTACCTATTGACTGATTAACTTTCTTTATTTTAGACTTTTTTTTCTTTTTGTTTGTGTTATAGTTATCCGGTTTATACCAAGGAATCTATACATCTGTTTCTGATACATATATTTAATTTCATGTATGTTGCATAAGTTTTTTTAATTATTCTTTTTATTAGATGTGCATAGTTGAATTTTGGTTTTTGTTAATTTATGTGTAAATTTTGAAACTATGTTTCAAGGTGGCCCGGTATGTTGAAGCCGGTATGTATGCAGTAATAGTAGCGCCACCTACATTAATTAGAAAAAAAGTTACTTCCTTGTTGGATATCATTGCGTCTTGAGATAGATCAATGCGCTGTTCTTAATAAACGCATATTAATAATTAATTCGCTATTCATTATTTTTGTTGTTGTTTATCTAAAATCAGATCGACATTATCCTTATGAGCTCGTAATATACGAACCACGCAAACCCGCAAACGCAANTATATATGTATATATGAACTTACTTCTTTGGTTGTATGGGATTACACCAACAAATTTCCAGTAGAAGCACCAGGCAAAACAGAATTTGGAAAGACCTCATTTTTCCCTAAATTGGGATCAAACATAATTTAAATTTAATAATAAAGCATTACAAATAAGTATAAATATTACCAAATCATACAGTGAAAAATGCAAATTCTGTGCTTTATTACGGATTTTGTAAAACACTTCTATTAACTAGCATATTGTTAAGAAAAATAAATGAGTTAAACACTACTTTTAAATTGTTTATTTTATGTATGATTTTGTCTATACGTTTGTCTATATATTAATTAAGTTTAAATTAAAATTCAAATAAAAAAAACTTTTTTGAAGAAAATATATATTTTTGTCATAAACATGATTGTAGAATTTATAAAGAGGATCAACTATCAACTAACGAATGTTCATAAAGTTTTTAATATCATTATTATTATTAAAATTCTATTTACGAGCTTGTGATATGATATTATATAACGCTGTAAATATTTGACTCAGTCAGTGGTGTTCATAGTCTCTTTCTAGAGAAAAATGTAAAATCACAGGATTTTATTATTATTTTTTTTGGTAAATGAAATTTTGACTTAAAAATTTGTTTTTTGGAAATATTTTGCTTTAAATTTCTTTTAAACACGTTTCAAGCTCTTGATTGAGAATATAGCTTTATTTTATTTTGAAGTCTTATTTGAAACTAGTTTTTCGTAATGTCTAGAAAAATCATTTAATCATTAATCAGAATTTAAACCTTTTTATCATTAAATTAATAATTTAATTTTAAAATCAATTTGCATCATTTTCTTGAAATTTCACACAGATTTATATTTTTATATTTTTCGGAAACTTTAAATTGCATCAAGAAACTTTTTCAAGCGAAGATAAAAATTTATCGGGCAGGATTTATTTCATGTAAGATTAAAGTTTGGAGTCAGGTTGAATTCATTGCTCTCCGTTGTGAGATCTGTTAATTTCTATTTTCTTGATAATGGTTTAAATGCTTTCTGAAGTTTCGTTGGTGATTAAATATTAATATATAATGAAAATGTGGTATAACGATGAAATAAAGAGGAAGAATATCCTCAATGGTTTTATTCTTTAGACTTCAAATTTCTTTTTTTCTTTTTTACTGCCTAAACAGTTTCTTAAGTTGCACATATGATTATATATAATGATTTTATGATATAACGGTAGTGAAAAGAAGGATTGCATGCTCCTTTGTTTCATTATTCAGACCAGAATTCCGTTCTAATTCGCCTAAATATCTTTATCAGTTTTATGTATTATTATAGATAAAGAATAACGGGGGGGGGGTGGATAATATTCTCCTCCTAAAAGAAAGTATCCTTTTTTGTTTTATTCTTCAGCTTCTGTTACTTTGCAACTTGACAAAAGTTGTTGATCCTTAATATGTATTTCTAGATTCCATTTAAGAAAGGAAACGAAAACTTAACACATTGGATTTACAAATTAATATTGAACCTAAGAAAAAAAAAAAAAAAAAAACGCTATCGAAATATGACAAATCAAAATGCGAAATAAAACAGGACAAATTTGATCGCAAGAGGAAACAGTGAGGAAGTGAAAGACTACTATTCGAAGTATCTCCAAGTTTAAACTTTCAAAACCTGCTATGTTTTTTACATTCGCTTTATTCTAATGTAATTTGTCAGATTTTGATCGTGTTTTTGTTTCTTTTTCGCTTAAATATTAATTTACAAAAACCAATATGTTAACTTTCGATTGGTATTCTAAAAATGTATATTAAATGTGGTCTATTAATATAAATATGTATCAAGCCTGTCATAATACAGATAAAACACCCTCGATAATGATTATGCATGTTACATAAAGATAAAACACAGAAAGATAATAAAAAAAGCACAACACAGAGCAATCACCAAAAGATTTATTTTACTTTTTAATATTTTAGATGAAAGTTGCTTTCTGGAAATTACATGATTTTTAAGATTTTGTATCCTTAAAACTGATTAAAGGAGAAAGAAGGCAGAAACTTGCATTTCTAATAATCGAATTTAATTACAAATATACCACGTTTTTTAGCGTAAACAATATTTATATGTATTACTTTTTTCCAGCAGAGCTAAATTTTTTTTATAAATTTAATTTCAATTTCTAGTTTTGATAAAACTGAATTATTAAAAATTGATAATCATGTCTGAATATAAAATTTAAAACTAATGAATGATTGAATTGCAATTTATATAAAAAAGGAGAAATTGGTTACGTAAAACATACGAACAAAGAATTAAGTTTCATGCTCACCTGGAAGTTTATTTTCCTTCTGTAGATAAAAGTATAAGTGATACATATTGTTGATACAAAAAGCAGATTTTAGTCACTCTTTTTTTCTCACGTTATCTTGATAGCGAATTCTTTTGTTTCATAATGTCATTTATATATGAAATAAAATAAACTACTTTTGGAAGTGAAACTAAGAGAAATAATTTTAATCATTGTTATAATTATTTTTTGTAGTAATTACAGAAAAAAATTCGCAAGAGTGAGATATGTGTATTTTTACTTCAATTTTATCTTTTTAAATTTAAATGAAAAAATCTCTATTTTAAGAAAATCGGCAAAACAGGTTTTGAGTTTTAAAAGTTAAAAAACACCGTTACTATTAAATTTTCATTTTTAAAAAAACATTCAACTGATTTAACCCGATTTTTTTTTTATTTTGTCACTTAAAATTCGATAATTTAAAAAAATAAAAGTTGCATATCTAACAATTAAGAAATTTTTGAAGATTACTATATAAAATAAATTATAATAATAAATAATTTAAAAAAATGGGGGGGGGGAAATCTTTGGATAAACGAGTTTTGTAATTATGTTGAAAAGTTTTCAATTCGTTGTAAAAGTTCCTGAGATTTAGCGAAATACGCTAAAAGTTAAATTAACATTAAGGAGTCTAATCTTTAGAATCCCCTCTTGACTTAATTATCGAGACCGTATTTTTCTCATTGCAGCTATTTCCCATATTTTGATAGTTAAGAAACCAAATTTGACCTAAATGGATTTGTTTATTCGTATAAAATACATTTTTGTGCATAATTTCGTAACTAAAATTACTTTAATTAGTTAATACTAATTAGTTAGTCTGTTTTGTACAACCTTTTGAACCAAATGAACATTGGTATTTAATAAGTGAAAATATAAAGAACAGAGCAACTATTCCGGGCCTTTTTTTCATTCTTTACAGTGCGGAAAATAAAAAAGGTCCAACTTGAATAACTTTCGATCTAATGATCGGATCTTCACTTTCAAGAAATTAATCTTAAATGATTGAAGGGTGGGAGTGATATCAAATATGCTAATTAAATAGTGCAGACTATATTTTAAGTTACGAAACCAGACAAATAGTACTTTTTCTGAATAAACATACCTTTCTTTTAAAACTGTTCGACTGATTTCACACAAATTTTGTAAATCGCCATTTAAAATTACATTCTCCACAACGATGTAAAAAAGTGTAGACCTCACAATTTAAAATTTTTTTCGAACCTTATTAAAATTAAATGGAAAAAGATATTTACTAAGAGTTATTTCTCGCATATAAGTATATTTAGATAAATGAATTTTAAAATTGTGTGCGATTGTGTCCCAGATTGTTGCTACGTCATATTTCGGCCGTCAAAATCCGAGTCCGTTGGAAAAAAAAAGCATATTTATCCTGAGAAAGAACGTTTTTGTGCCTGATTTCTTAACATAAATTAAAGCCTATTTGAGGTCATCGCTTCAGACCATTAAGATTGAGTTCTAGAATGTGAAGATCCGATCATTAGATCAAAAGCTATTCAAGGTGGTACATTAATTTTTTTAGCACACTATATTTAAAATTTCGTTATAAATAAATCAACAAATAACATGTAATAATGGAGCTTTTTATGATAATTATAAAATATAAAGATGCCAACTACCGAAAATTAAAAAAAAATTTAAAAAGCTATTACATTCTACTTATAGGACTAACTAACCTCAGTAGTGTAATTTCTCAACAAAAAAAAAATGTTTAGCAAATAATCAGATTGATGAGAAAATCACAATTGAAGAGAAGTATTGCTGTAATCGCAAATAAATTTTCCTGATACCAAAAAAGTAGCTGAAGAGAATTAATCAGTATTGTCTCAAACCTTGTAGAGTAGATTCTGTTGAGTTAGATTCTGATTACTAGTTTAAGCAAAGGGGTAACTATTTAATTTAAAGTACTACCTTACAATGTATAATTACTACTTTTAAAAAGCCCTTTGATTCTAAAATATAGTAAAAAAAAAATTACAGAAAATTAGGTGAAACAAGAGTTAAAGAAATCACTCCTGTAGAATTAGCGAAAATCATTATCACCATTTTTTAAATTGTTTTTCCTCCATGCACGTTTGATTATTGTATCACACTTACCAGCAGCATTAAATTTCATTTTAGCCTTGCTGGACATATTGACATTATGTTAATTCAAAGTTCAAATTGTATAAATAGTCCAGGTTTCCTTTAAGGTAGCGCATTTTTCGCTATTTTCTCAAAATTAGCTGCTTTTTTCGAATTTAGATACTCCAGCTTCTGCGATTTTTGGTTCAATACTCATTAACTTTTAAAATAAATTTTATGCCTATGAAAAAGTTGCCCCGAAATTCCCGCAAGGTTTGAAGTTTATACTATTTTTGCTATAAAATGTTACAAACAAAAGCAAAAGAAACATTAAAAAAAATAGTCAAAGAAGCTGCTGCTAGTTCAGGCTTATTAAAAATAGAATACATAACTTAAAAAATCAATGAAAATTCACATTTTTTTAAAATTTCTTTCTGTGTGAATAGTGGGTCACCCAATAACAGAATAAATAAAAAAAAATTTGCAACCTTCAAAACTAAAAACTCAATCAGAAAGAATTATTCTGCTGAAGAAATTTTAACATAAACCATTACTTCACATTCAGTTATTTTAATCATCTTGATTCGAAAGTAGAAATTAATTTTTCAACCTTCATGCTTGCTCTAAAAATATTAAGTCGTTTTTTCAATTAATGAACCCAATTTTGATAATAATTCAGACACCGCTGATAAGTTCAACAATTTACTATTTATAACAGTTAAATATGTTTTAATTATGTTTATAAAATACATAAAATAAAGTTAATGTTTTCCTCTTAAATCATAGCTTAAATTCTGAATAAGATATTATCAAAACTTTGAAAAGATAAACCATTGATTTCGATAATTTTGTTTGATCTTTGCTGTAATCTAGTGAACTCTGAAATACTAAAAAAAAACAGAAAAATAATCGTAATTTAAGTGTTATGTTTTTTTTTTAAATTCAAGGTCAAAGTAAGGAAAATTTTGCTGAATCATACGAAGCATTGTGTTCGATAATTTAAGACATTCAAACTCATTTTTACTTTTACTTAACAATTTTCTTTTTTTGACTGAAATAAAATTAGAAGTTAATTAATGATTGTCTAGCAGTTCAAAACAGTTTAAAATGAATATTTGAAGCAGCTTAGACAGACAGAAAATTTTTTTTAAAATGTTTAGTTTTTTTTTCTTTCTGTATGGCATAAAAAAGGAGGATCTGTTACATAGAATTAAGAAATGCCACCGAGACATCCTTGAGAAATATTATTTACTCTTTCCAATTATTTTATTATATAAAATCTGCAGCTTCCAGAAGGTTTTATGCAGGGTGTTCCGTAAAGACCACCCTTAACCTTTTGAATTCTTATTAAAAAGGAAAACAAATAATAATGCACATTTGGGGGTTGTAAATTAATATTTAACTGAGTAAAAAATAAAAACGCTTTCGAAATCTCACAAATCACGATGCAGGCGTAATGCAACCAGATGACAAGTTTGATTGCAGGAGAAACAAAGAGGATTTGAAATAGGACTATTTAAACACCTTCAGAGATAAATTTCTAGAAATACACACTAAGAGCGGTCTTTACAGGACATCCTGTATATCATATTGTGAATATACTTGACTATTTTAAAATTCTTTTTTGTAACACTAGCTATGCATTGCTCATTTAATATTAGATACAAAAAGTACATTGAGATAAATCCATTGCTAAATTAGAAATTAGTTAAACGAAAATTTTTATTATTATGGGTAGCTGGGCAATTTTTATTTTCCAGCTATTTTTTATGTGTTTACTTTAATTTCTTCATTGATTAAATAACTAACGAACGTTTAATTAATTTTTCTTAAATCTTTAAAAATGCTTTATTTTAGTTTTACGCCATTGTTTTAACAAATGTTATTTCTTTTATAAGTATAAATCAATATTTTTCAACTCAACACCAAAGTTATAAGTAAAAATTTTAAATATACTCTGTCAAAGTCTGTTATTTCCATTTGAATGATAAAAAAATCGTAAATATCACATAATTTGCAAATATTTCTGAAAAATTCAAACTTCATTTAAAAAAAAAATAATTTGTCAGTCCTTAATATTACAGGTGTTAAGGAACTGAAAAAAGGCGAAGTTGGAAAGAAAGCATGAAAAAGTTTTTTTCCATTTGTTTCAATCACTTTGTTAATATCTGAATACTATTCTCGCCGATGAGGTAAACAGCGATTTCTAGATAAAAAAAACCCTGACCAAAAAGTGGTGCTTTTTTAATAATGTTCTAAAGAAAACGCACTATTACGATGAAATGAATTGAAAAAAATCGAAGGCTTGCAAGTTTCTCACAAAATAAGCGCCACCCTCAAATGTTTTGTTTGAAACACGCTTACATTACCTTTTGTGAATGCTGACCTTATATTTCATCAAGTTTGATTTTTGCTAAAAACAATGCCGAAATTAGACAATCAAAAAACATTATTGACAACATTGTGACTCTATTAGTTCCTTTATATTTTGACGATAACTTTTGTCCTATTTTTTGTTATAGATGAAACTGAATCAAATTTTATTATTATTTTTATCAGTAGGGAGAGTGGGGTCAACTGTAACATTTTTTACTTAACTATTTTTAACTAACAAAAAATCCAATATGTTATTAGTAGTAATTGACAGACGAGTAAAGTAGACTATCCTCTACTAGGAAAAAAAATAAATACCTCATTTTAAATGTTATTATATTAGTTATTAACAAATTTTGACAGTCGTACACTTGTTACAATTGTCCCCACTAACGGGGTCAATTGTAACAGTTCATAAATTCAACTTAAACATAGTTAATTATACATATTATCATAGTTGTGATATATTTTTTTATTGATCAAAATAGTAGTGATATTTTAGGAGTAAAAATAATAATGAGCAGAGACCTAAAGGGTTAAACTTTTAACTTTAAGGGGTTAAAAATTTTAATTTATGCTGTGAAAGGTGACAAATAAAATAATGCACATGCAACATAATATAAATGATATAGGAAACTATTGGTGGTTCTTAAAGAGTTAAGTAATGGTTTGTAAACATAAGATTATTTATTTTCAGCTGTTACAATCGTCCCTTTACTTATTGTTACAATCGTCCCCAAGACGCCATTTCAGCTTCATTTGTTAAAAACATTGCTAGTTAATTAACAAAACTAATTTTTTTTTTTTGAAATGTTAATTAAGGTGTCCACTTACATATTCGGTTAATAATTTTTATTTGTTTAAACAAAATTACTTTGTTACAATATAATATTCTAATACCAAAAAAAGTACTTACGTAGCGTGAAAATATCTTTTGTTATGTAACTCTTTCAAAAGTACATAAAAATGGTTGCCAGCAGGGGTGTAAATGTAGATTTATTAAATACACCCTGTGTGCCACCTAGGAACCAGATCTAGAACCCGACACTCGAAATTTTTGCTCTGTTACAATCGTACCCTGCTACAATTGACCCCACTCTCCCCTACTTTTTATGATTTTGGACTAACCAAATACACACGCGTCTAATAAAATTTAACAGAAATTTTTTTATTTGTGAAAAGGCTTATTTTTTCCTGAAAAATGCAATATTTTATGACAAGAATTAAAATGTTACACATTGCGGTGTTTCTTTCATTTTTCGCTATCTACATATTCTTAAGATTACACGACTTTTTCATAAGTCCTACTGGCACACGGCAATCACTATTATCGTTCAATTTTGAAGTAATTTGTTGTTGAACTATTTTCAACATCTGATATTGAAGCATAATTAACATGTGATGCCGAAGCATTAGCAACATCACTTGAAGAGATACAACATCTAATGTTGCAGCATTATCACCATATGATGTTGAAACTTTATTAACATCTGAGATTTAAGCTTTACTAACATCAGACAAATTTGCACCAACAATTGCGAAATGTTGATGCCTTTTTTCTAGATTCAATTATTATTTTAAAAAAATCCTAATAATTTATAAAATATTAATTTTTAATTGATCTGAGAAATCATTGAATCTATACTAGTAAAATTTGTAAGTAATAATGGAGTTGTTGCTGAAGTGTGGTTGTTGAAACAAATAAGCTTTCAATAACAATAATATTAGAATCAGATTATTTATTCAGTTAAGGACATTCTTTTATTATTCCTGTTTTACATGAAACTGATATGGTTGAAAGGAACAAGTCTATAGAATCAATGTCAATAATGTATTTATGACCTTTTTGTAGTTATTACGTAGTTTTGTGCTTTACTTTGAGTTATATTTTTTTCCACATCTTTTCATCATTCTGCATTGATAAAGTTTATGACTTCATTTCTGTATTCAGGATATCCATTTATAGCATGGTGGCCACCTTTTACTGAATATAACTGGGCGTTTGGAAAAAGTTCAAGAATCTCCTCTTTAACGTCACCACTAAAAAATAACGAACAAAAATTAGCACATATAAAATAAATTTGTGAACAGAACTATTTTGTACACAGAAAAATGTGCATTTCTGGCCATTAAAATTTGCTGCACTAACATAGAGTCCAAATAGCAGAATGAGAGGAGATTACACGTGAAATTAGCGAGAAATAAAGGCGTATAGATCCTTACAAAAATTAAAGGTATTTGTGAGGTTTATATGAGGTTGTTTTGAGGCGTCAAGGTTGATTTGAGGTTTATTTGAAGTTGATTTAAGAAACACCCTTAAAAGATCGATCTCCCAAGGTATATAATCAAGGCGGTCGAAGTTTTATTCGCATTTGAGCTTGATGGAAATCTACTTTAGTGCAGCCAGTTTAGGGAGGTTGTTTTCGATGCAATTGGTAAGTAGTGGAGATTCAATTAAAATTAGATAAAAACAATTATAATAATAAATTTTGGGTTGGTTGCCTTTGATGGGAGGTTGCTTTTGATGTAATTGGTAAGTAGTGAAGATTCAAATAAAATTAGATGAAAATAATTATAATAATAAATTTTGGGTTGGTTGCTTTTGATGGGAGGTTTCTTTTGATGTAATTGGTAAGTAGTGGAGATTCAAATAAAATTAGATAAAAATAATTACAATAATAAATTTTGGGTTGGTTCATTTTGATGGGAGGTTGCTTTTGATGTAATTGGTAAGTAGTGAAGATTCAAATAAAATTAGATAAAAATAATTATAATAATAAATTTTCAAATCATTTTTCTGTGAGTGCAGGAGTGTATTTATACTCTCTATGTTTTAGTGCTCTGATTACGAGTATACTAATTTCCATAGTTTCTGAGGGAAATCAACATGATTTTTGGATGCAGCAACAGCACCCAGCTTCAAAAAAATGATACAAATGGACTAAAAATTATATTTCTATTTGAAATAAAATAGAGATTTTTGGAAATTAAAATTATTTTTATTTAAATTAAATTTAGAATTTTTGCATTCAGGATATATAAAATACAAGATATTTTTTACTTTTAGTGAGGTTATAATCTCTTCATGGTACATTACAAGAACCTTATTCTCACTTAGAATTTAAATTTTTGAAAATTTTTCACGAGGCATTCGCTTATTCGGAATTGCTGTAGTTAGAATTGCTTTGATCAGACTTGCAATTTTTGAGTTAATCAAGCATGACTTTTTGACAATTCCTGTAGATTGAAAATTGCGTTAATCTTTTTTTTTTATTTGTCGAATAAAATGAAAATTATCCTAAGAATTAAAGTTAGTATGCTGCGTTTTTCAAGTGCTGTGTAATTGTGCTCTGTAATTAAAGAGTTTTAGATAAATTTTAGAAATCATTTTTAAACTTGGTTATAAAAAAAAGTTTGGAAGGAACATTACTGTCTAAGTGGGGAAAAGCACATTAGTAAATTCTGATTTATCACTAGCGATGTCAATCAGATCAAAGAAGAAATTGAAATCTTCAAGAATCAGCTTATTGTTAGATAAAGATGAAGGCGTTAATTTACTCGTTAAGAACTGTTTTGCAGAGCCATGAGACAAATTAAATTGTTTTTGACGATTTTAATATAGGTTGGTTTAAAGCGAAATTAATGACACTCAGGGATTCGAAGCTCCAGTTCTACATAACGCTTCCGTATGCTTCTTTAACATTAGAAAGACTGAAACTTAGTGTATACCTGTATTGCAGTCAAAATGACTGCATTCTGCAAGAATAACTAATGTGTAAAGAAATTTGCTTAATTAATTTTTAATATTTTTTATATTATTTACAGTTTTATAACAAGTTATTAGTAAATATCAGCAGTAAACAAAAATTACTTCACTTGACAAAAAAATAATTTATGCATTATTATTTGTACATTTTTTGCAAATGAAAAAGCAGTTAAAAAGCAGTCAAAATGACTTCCTTGGGCAATATAGTGTTAAATACATCATATCTGAATCACGTGCTCAAGACTTCTATTTAGAAAATAGTTTGAAATTGTCAACAGACGCCGTTGTATTACTAATATGTGAATATAAATGTTGAAAACACGGTGGTATGCTTTAAGAATATTGTTGGTCTTGGCCAACAGGTAAAGCAAATAAATCACACTAAGTTATAATTGATTAAAATATTTTGCAATTTCTTGAGTTTCTAACTGATGAACAGTAAGCTTTCTTTTTATTTTATTGTAATGAATCCTGCTGCCAAAATATCAAATTATTATATTTCGAGGGAAACCTATACGTCTACGCAACATACATTTGAAGTTTAATTAAGACCCGTTGTAGAGCTACGAATCTCTGAGTATGGTAAGTTTAATTTTAACATTTCTATACCACTTTTAAATTAATTGATTTGGATAATGATAAATTTGATAAAAATAATAATAATAATTCAATAAATATTATTTATTATCATATTACATTGGAAGATTTTGAAAATGTATATTAAGTATGTAAATGCGGAACACTTTGTAGTTGAGAGCATACAAAACCAAACTCTTACACTTTGAACACAGACTGTTCTCCATAAATGAAAAGAGCTGGCTTTTCATATTTACCACCAATAATAGTCAGATGTTTTACAGGATCTGCCTGGAGTTTGTCAAGAACATCAAGGTTTGCTTTCCATTTCCATTTGCTGTCTGAGAATTTTATTGGAATGTAATCAACGAACTTCTCATCGTAACTTAGAGTCTTATCCATCTAAATATAATTTATGGAAATTAGTTTTTCTAATATTATCCTCTTATAATTTAGCCTAACAAATTAAATATAAATCTGTTTTCAATCAATAATGTTCTCGAATTTCATTCAGGGAAATCTTTAATCTGATTTTTAAAATACTTATCAAAAAGGAAGTAATACAAACAAACATATTCAAATTAATATTTAAGTAGTTAAAAAATAAATTCTAAATCTGACGAATCGATATTTAGTAAGTTAGGGTAGAAATATTAAAAACAGAGTCTGACTGGAAGATGGATTTTTTCTCTTACCCTACCTTTCCTATTTATAGACAATATTTCTAAAAAAGTACGTTTTTAACGTACTTATCTACGTACTAAAGTACGTACCTTTCCTATTTTTAGACAATGCTTCGAAAAAGTACGTTTTTAATACTAAGGGTAAAGGTATTCAGCATCATGAAGTCACTAATAAAGTTCTTAATAAATGCATTCGTTATTAAATTATTAATTTGGATCGTGGATCATTTATAAAGAAATCGATGCAGTTATGAGATTTTGTTATGGCTCTTTACCCAATAAAATTTGCATCTATCAATTTAAATAAAATAAAATTTTATGAAAGAGAAACATTATCCTTACCGTTTTTAAGATACAAATTGTGTCATTAATGCAATACAAGGATGTTTTTCGAAAGCTCAATCATCCAACTAAATAACGCTTTTTTGCGAATAATACGCTATTTTCATAACTGCTGTGGTGTTTCAACAATTATTCGTGATTGTTTGCCCTATTTAAAAGTTGAATAATTTTTAAAAGTATTTAAGTTATTTGTCTCTCAAGAAGCCCATATAATGTTTTACGGTAAGATGGTTTAATAGTTAAAATTATCAAAAACTATAGTCTTGCCTGAAACTTTAGGCATACGACTATTGCCTTTTATTTTACTTTTCAAAAAACCTTATTAAAACACTGTTAATTAATATTTTTTGGTGCATTTCTTTAGTATATTTTCGCTTTAAAGGTTATTTATGATAAAAAATATCTAACAGCATATGATTTTACGACAATATGGCTTGAAAGTGTTAGGCATTAAAATATTACAATAAGTTTATTAATTTCTTTAGATTGGTTAAAAAATTTCTTTTACCCTCTGAAATTCTTTCTCTTTCTTTCTACAAACTAAACAAGCCATAAACTACGTCCTGAATGAGGTAAAATCATACTTCAGCACCCCACAAAAATTTAAAATTAAAATCAGAAAATAAAATTATTTAAATTAAAAAAATATTTTTTAAACTTTAAATTTGGAAGCTTGTTTGCCAAAATGTGTTTTAAGTCAATTAATAATTCTGAATATTGCACTTTTTGATTAATTTAAGGAGATTTAGGCATGCAAAATTTGGGATGAGACCTTTTCTGCACTGGTGCAATGGCTCATAATATATTTTATCTAAAACAAAAATACAGAAATCATGAGTGCATTGACTGTGATTAATATGCCTTATTTGTGCTTCTGGAGGCAAATTTAACTACGAAAATCAAAGCTTCATTAGACAGTAAATGAGGAATAAGACACAGATCATAAGGATGATGATATCAAAACAACTCCTTAATTCAAAATGACTATCATGACAAGGCAATCACAGTGAAGACGCAGATTAATAGGAAAAACTAAGCACCCAGAAAAGAATATGCAATAGCGAACATTAGCATTCATCATTAGCAGTGGACAGCGTCGGCGGAAGGCATTTTTTCGTCCCATGCGATACTGATAACGACGCCCTTAACTCGATTTTGGAAAAGTTATCTTTAAAAAAAATTTTCGAATTGCCTCTCCGGCTTAGTCATAACGCTGTTTAGAATTGTTTTTTATATTTTACATTAAAAAATTAATTTCAAATTTGAAATAGCATATATTTCGGACATTCTCATTAGCGATTATGTGATTCTCCAGATTTTGGTTCGTCACGGTTTATTAATAATATATAAACTTTTTTTGAAAGGAAAAAATATATGGTTTGCTTACCAATTTCAATAAAGAGTTATAAAAACTCACAATTCTTTTTTTGGCTTTATCTTCATTTGCACCTTCAGGAATGAGTCTTAAAGCATCTCGTAAATAATCCAAATTTCCACCATACCGCTTTTGAACTTCTTCACTGAGGCCATTCGGTCGCATATCTTCCACGATTAGCTTCTCTACCTTTTCTGGCTTTTTATAAGAAATATACACATAGTCAAACTTAATCAATGTATAAATTAATGATTGATGGCCAAAATAAAGTAAGTATACATATTTACGAGCATAAAATTATTCGAATATCAAGTTTCGTTTATAAATGCACTAAAGCAAGTATACAAATTAAATTTACAGAGCCTTTCAATGAAAACAAATCAGATAACGTAGTTTTCTTAATACAAAGCTCATAGTTTTGATTCTATCAATTTGCTTGATCTAGATTATAGTACCTGTCTCTAAAAGTAATTATTCTTTTCAACAAGATGGTGTATATGGTTCAAAATTATAGCTTTGCCTCAAGTGTAAGGAGTTTAAACCATGGCCTTTTTTTTTCCTTGCTTAAAGATCTTCGAAAAACAGTGTAATGTAATGATTTTTATCTGGATAGTGAAATATAAAAAATGTCACCTATTTGGGAATTTCTTCCAACAAGTAAAAAGCAGCAGTGGCTCAGGAGATAGAGCATTTGCCTCCCAATGAGGTAACCCAGGTTTGAATCCCAGAAATGGCTGGTAGGTATGGTTTCTGCTCCCAGCTCGTACCGACCATAGTGCTGGCGTGAAAATATCCTCAGTCGTAGTCATAGGTTAGAATCTCTTTGCCGTCGGGCTAACAGTGGGAGGTTTTCGTGGTTTCGTTCTTCGAGCAACGCAAATACAGGTTTGTTCCCTCAAAAATTCCTCCAGGAAGGCTAGTCTGTTCCAATGCTTGATCCAGGAGTGCCCTCATCTTCTAAGTTTGGCTCAAAATTACAAGACTACGGAGGAGTTGAAGATCGATAGTCGTAAGCTTGGAATTGGGTTGACTGTTCAACACCACAGTAATAAAATAAATCAAAGAAGTAAAGCATTTTTTATATACATTTTAAATATTTGTATATTTCAGACTTAAGACAATTCTCTGCACTAAGATGGTCATTATAGAATAACGTGGAATTTTTTATTTCCTCTGACAAAAGAGTGTCGAATCACACCCATACATGATTTTTACAAAAAAAATAAATAATAATAAATAAATAAATAAACATAGAGTGACAAAAATATTAAAAATACATCTTACGTATGTTAGAGTAAAATCGACAGCAATCTTTCCTCCCAAGCTATGGCCAAGTATAACTAGTTTATCTGTATCAAGTGTTTTCATTAAAAGAGGTAAGTCTGAAGCCATAGCTTTAAGATCTGTATCATTGCTCCATGGGCTGTCTCCATGATTACGCAAGTCAACGGTACATACCTAAAAATTTTACATTTCATGAATATCAGGATGCAGTTCAAGGTATGAAATAAAATTTCAAAGTAAATGAAGCTAAAATAAGACCGAATAAGTTCGTGTGAAACATTTGCTTTTTCAACAACATTATTTCAGTATGCCCAAGTTTAAGTATAAGCTACAAAATTAAAATTTTTTTCAAAAAGTAGTTACGTTTTTTTTCAGTAGCGGTAACCTTTCAGTTTCTTCATAAAATTTACACTGACTGCCTTGTTTAATCAACGCAAGTTTCTGTTTCGTTAAAATGACTATGATGTGGTATTGGACTATGGTTAGGTTTAGCTTGATATTGCTGTAAAAAATCATTTTAACGGTTATCGAAAGAATGAGTAAGACCATGAATGAAAAGAAAATAGAGGTTAATCAAATTTAAAAAGATAAAGAATTCATCAAAAGTTCATAGAAAATTTAAATCAATAATCTCTTAATTTTTCGTGAAGCTATATAAGAAGTCAAAAGCAGAAAAATTTAAATAATGAGAGTGATCATGTCTTTACTAAAGTCCATGCAGAAATTCATCAAGATGTTACAGAGTTGCTTAATCAATATTTATAAAAAATTCCGTAATTATGTATATTTATAGTACATACTGAATTTTTTTACATGAAAACGAAAATTTTACATGACCTGGGGGCGTTAAGCAATAAAATTTTCAATCCCTGTTGTTTTTACAACTTACTTTTCTAGCTGTTTTTAATGCGAGATCATGCATTAAATCCATATACATTCCCTGAAATCCCAAAAAACCATGCACTAAGAGAATTGGTGCTCGGTCATCTTTTTGACCATTTAATGTAATTCTTAAACATGTATGTGCCAAGTGGAGTGGCTCAGTTGTGTTCGTTCTAAAGAAAAAATTAAGAAACATAATAAGTTTCAATAACATTGCCCCGAATGTATATATATATATATATATATATGCGAGGAAAATTGAGAAAAATAATAAGTTTTATTTACTACGCATAAGCTGCAAGTACATAGAACTCATAAAATTAATTCAAAATAAACAGAAAACAAGGGAAAAAATGTAAAGGTTTTCTAAAGGAGAGGAAGAAAATTAAAAAATGTTTTTAAAAATATTCAAAAATATAAAAAAATTTTAAAACTTAAAAAGTAAAAAATAAACAATAATTGGAAAATAAAATAAAATAAAATAAAGAAAAGATATAATTTCGTAAACAGCTCACACAATTACACATGAAAAAAATAGTGCTTTCTAATTTAGTATTAATATGGCCAGAGCAAAACATTTCAATGCAATAGTGTGAGGAGCACCAAAAAAATTGAAACAAAAATAGAATTTATTAAGCCAAAAATGCAAAATAAGAAAAAATGCAAAAGAAAACAATCAAGCAATTACAGAAAATAAATATTCAACAAAATGCAGAATAAAAATCAAAATATATAAAGCGAATAGTGAATTCAAATGTACTTACACGCATCTTTCAAATTATCTGAAATTATTTAAAATGCTTTCGTAACAAGTTTTCCAGATTATAGAATATGAAAGTAGAAGCGTAAATAGAGAATGAAGGGAATCAACTATTGATTTCATAATTTAAATTTAAATTGTAAAATTAATAAGAAAAATTTTAGTTACTTACCGTAATGGTTCTGAAAACACGCAGTTGCTTATTTCCAGTAACACTGTCAAGCACAAAATAGCTTTAAGTGGCTTCATTTTCATCTAGAAATGAAAAATCAAACGAAATGCTGAAAAATTAAGAATATTAAGAATAACGCTTATGCGTTATCTGTCTGTTTATACTGTATTAGATTGAAAAAACGCCGTGCCTTGAACTAGTTTTTAGACAACTACAAATGATTTTATTTCTCTTTGATCATCTCAAATAGAATGTCTGAGGTGGGCAATGGTTTTGAGAAATAAAAAACTGCACAAATTTAGGATATTTTTTAATTTTTTTGAGCCATTATGAACGTCATCATTATGAGCTGAGCGACGCAGCGGGTGCGAACATTTGAACACACCAAAATTAAAGAGCAGTAAATTCCATCTCGAATGGTATATTTAAACAATAAATCTAATTGATTGGTCTGGGCAGAATCAGTTCTCGCAAAATAAGCCGCATTGTCCACTTCTGATGAAAAACACATTAAATATATAAGTGTGAAAGCATTAAATGGTGAAGTGTGTGACAAAATAATAAAAAAATAGAAGTGTGAAAATTCTGGAGCTAAAAAGTTTGCTCTCCAAGGCTTACTCTCTTATAAAATAACGACCATTTCTACCCATAGATAACCATAAATCATTTCTACTCATAGCAGAAAATCAAAGCTAAACGTAATGCTGTTTTTCCAGATTTCTGGGTAATAAAACTGCTATATTGTTTCATTGTTCAATTTGGTTCTCCACGTTTTATTAGGAAGAGCTGAGGTTGAAGAAGCAGGGCCCGACTTAGCCTAATTGGGGCCCGGGACAAAAACTTCTTTGCCCCCCCCCCTCTGCTTCACTATTTCAGTAATGCAGAACCGAACTTTATGGAGGAATTTAAATTTTTCACCTCATTATAAATAACAGGAAAATTGAATAGAATCTAAAATAGCTTCCAATGACAAACGAAATGTCGTTCTGTCCATTTTATTGATTTTCTGACAATTCTATGTCCATCATGCCGAATGGAGTTTTCTGATTGTTGACTTTGTCATCTAGCTGCAAAAATTTCATATCCTTGCTGACATTAGGGCGGAATTCAGCTAAAATTTCGCAATTATGATATCTCAATTTAGCCAATCAAAAGCCTGTATTTCGTAAAGATGCCGCATTTTGCGATCAGTAAAAATACGGGCACTTGATTGGCAAAATTTGACCATCGTAATTGCGAAAATTTAGCTGAATTCCGTCCTAGAAAGTCATGAATTTGCGAAACATAAATTGTGTTCATAATATAGATTAATGAAGAAGCTGATATTAAACTGACAAATTTTACACTGTATTGATATTTTGCTTAAAGAAAGTTCATTACAGAAGGAAATGTAAAATAAATTTTCCATTCGATTTGGGCTAATATTTTATATTGCTAATATTTTCCTTGCTAATATTTTATTTTGTTTCTTCTTTTTCCTCCTTTTACTATTTTAGAGCAAACACAATTTATAGCACCGCTTAATATCGTTACGTGGACTACGAACGTAAATCTCGTTTGTTTCTTAATTTGAATTTAGGGCAGTTAGATGATAAAATATATTTATCGAATATTTATCGTACATATCATATTTTATTAAAGTCAAATAAATTTTTCAACTTTAAAATAAAATTTAAATTATGCAGTATCGAATCAGAAAGAACTATCAATGAATTTAGTTAAGAGACGCATTTAACAATAATATATATATGTCAAATAAATGTATATCAGATAAATAAAAAAATATCCTGGTGTTAGGAAAACTGTATGAAACTTTCGCAAGTTTGAGTAGTGATACCAGGTTAAATTTTTTTTCCTTAATAAGTTTTGAAATTCAAAAATGGAAATAATTTTTTTTTTCATAATGCCTCATATAAAATTGTCATTTTGTGCATTAATCTTATGTGGATTATAATGGATATATAATGGATAAAAACATGTAGGGGGCCATAGTTTGTCCGCAATGTAAAAGTAGCATTAGTAGAACAAAGGTTTTAGGTTTTTTTGCAATTTCAATTGAAGTTAAAAAAAAATTTATTGCTGAGGAAACACGTTACCTTTTAGCTTGACCCATAAAGACTGTCACCTCTGGTAAAATAAACAAATTTTAAAAAGAACATTGCTTTTTAGAAATAGCATATATTTCGGACATTCTCAATAGCGACTATGTGATTTTTCACATTCACTTGTTAAAGCTGACATTCTCCAGATTTTGGTTTGTCACGGTTTATTAATAATAAAAAAATTTTCATATCTCAAAATTTTTCATATTATACGCTTTTTATATGTCAGTTTTGAATCACAAACGATTGAAAGCGATCATAACGCCTTTTTCATTAGAAGCTAAAAACTTCGCAAACTTTATGACTAATAATTCCGACCAAACTATTCAATTAAATTTTATATTTAATTTTATCACTCAACGCGGAATTTACTGCTCCTTAATGTTGGCGCTTTCGAAAATTTTAGCCCGATTCATCGTTTATCATTGATAAGGCAAAAACTGATATATATGACTAAAATTTCGCGATTTTTTGTCTCTGAAATGTTTAACTCACACTAGAAAGATTCGAAAAATTTATATTGTTCTAATTTGCGATAAGTGAAAAAAAAACCTTTCAGCTTTCTGGGAATTAGTTCGAACCAAAAATCTAATTTAAATGTGATTTCAATGTAAATGCATGCATTGATCATGAACGAGTAATATTAAAATGCATTTGATCAGAGAAGTTAGAAAAAACTGCACTTACCAAGAGCAGTCGATTGAATAATAATCTTTCTAGCTTTCTTGGTTATAGTTTCCATACCGTTGCGAACAATCGATATTTATATAGATTCTTGTTTCAATAATATACTCATCTTTTCTATTTTTCAGGCAGTTGTCCGATTAATACACGAAAGGTCAAGGGAAGATAACAAAAGATTTCCTTCCATATTTTCCTCCTTCCTTAAGATTAGTTTGTTTGCCTCACTGTTTGTAACCTCACCTAATTTTGACAGGAAATTATTAAATATTACAATACATTTGTTTTGCGTATTTCATGTCAAAATATTACGAATTATAAAATGATTTATATAATTCTTACTCTTAAACTGAGCATGATAATTATATAGCTATAACTAAAAGCTTTTCCCTTTCTAAGCATTAAACAATTTCAATATCTAATAAGAAATAATTAATAATTTACTTATTAATGGTATTTGATTATATATAGAATGCATCAGTGATTGATAATCGATACATTAAAATTAGTTGATATATCGGAATTTATTTGAAATTGATAAATATCCTTTTATTCTAACGCTTTCTTCTTTATACAAGAAAAATATTTCAAGAATTTTTAATGAAACTAGAATTGAATAAGCCTTATCCAATGGGGTTCTGAACGATAAGAGTTACGCTTACCTGGTGTATGACACGTTCACTTCATAATTATGAATTACGTAAACATTTTTGGAATACTCTTAGAAATTTCCTTAAAATTCAAATAGCTGCCCGGTATTTTATACGGCCAGCTTCCCTCTTTGAGAAAGCTTAGTACCTTCAGTTGTAATGGATTCCATCCATCAAAATTAGTTGAGTTGACCGTTAATTTTTGCAGTCAGCTCATTTCTCTATAAAAAAAACCGTCCAGTGCCTGTAATTGTTATGAACTTCAGCGAAATTAGCACAGTTGATCATACATTTATGCGCAAAATTTCTGTGTGGAAAAACAATTTATTTCCAGTTAACCCCTTCCTTCTCACTCCCGTGAAACTGACGGGGTGAATTTTCGCCCTCTATTTCTCGCTCCCGTGATACTGACGGGCTGGAGCGATCAGTAGTAACGCGCCAATAAGAATAAAACTAATTCATTTCTTTTGGACGGAAAACATTTTATTTCTCATTTTACATAAGATGGCAGTACCAGGATATTTTTAGTTTTATTGTAGCTAGTTAGTTTATTTTAAGCTAGATGTCTGCACTAATCAAATACGTAATACAAATACAAAAGCGAAAAAAATAGGCGCTCTTATGACCGTTTTCTTGAAAATTAACCGATCGTTAAGGGGCTAACACCAAATCAAGAGTTCGTACACTCCTTAAGGGATCTAAACACGAGTAATGAAGAATGCTTACACCAAGCTCACACACATTTACACCATTCAGGAAATAAACTAGCTACCGAAATACCAAGTAATACCTATGAGTACGGTTGGAAGACATCAACTGGCAATGATAGATTGTATGCTATTTATAATGAGAAGGTGTAAGTTCTACACAAATAGAACTTTATTCTTATAAAAATATATGTATGTTTTTAGTTGAGTAATAAATATAATTATGATTTCATAAGAAAATTTACATGTATGTATATTAATCATTTAAACTACTTTAAACCCTTCTTCTATTAAACTATAACTTCTATTTGCTTCAATTCTATTAAGCCGAATTCGGATTTCATTTAGTGTTCTTCCTGCTCTGTTCAGATGCTTGAGTTAGAAACTAATTTTATTTCAAGAATTGTTGTGTGTTATGCATTATAAATTAATTGTTTTTACTGTAAATTGAATCATAAAAATAGCTTTATTAGCTTTTATGTGAATTATATCTTATTTTCATTAAAACTATTTGTGTTTCTAAACACGTAAAAGGGTGGCAACTACTTGACATAGAAAAAAGTATAATGGAACATTCCTGATTTTTAAAGACACCAAGAACTGCCCTCGATATTTAATTACGCCAAGAATTGCTGCTTGTTTCACTGTATCTTTTTGGAATAAAATAGTTGCAAACATTTCTGGTGTTAAGATATACTTTGTTTTTTTTTTACAGCGTAGATTGTTTACAATCACGCACGGAGTGGTGTGAGATTTAATCATCTTGCTCGTTGTTATAAATACATCTAAGAAAGTTAGAAGTTACGGTTACACAATGCATACTTGTTTTTAGTTATGTCGAAAGCATAATTCTATTTTAATTTATATGCCTCGTCAATTAAAATAAATAATTTTTCAATATTCAATTTTTATCAAATTCTATTTTTTTGAACCTAGTTTGAATTTACTTACTTCTCTGCTGGGAAGATGCTTGATTTACAAACTAATTTTATTTAAGAATTAGCTGGTATATGCATCCCGAAATAATTGTTCTTTCTTTAGATTGTTTAGTAAAAACAAATTTGCTGACTCTTAAGTCTTACATCTTACTGCTATTAAACATTCTCGAGTTAGTGAGCACCAAAAATAGAGGCAACTATTTAACTTCAAAAGTAATGTAAAGAAACAATCTTGGCGTTTTACTACAGCAAGAACTATCTTTGGGGTTTGATTACACTAAGGTATATCTGTTTAGTTTCACTACACCATTTTTTGTCTTAAGTAGTTACCAACATTTTTGGTCTTAAGGCGGCACAGTACTTAATTTTCGACCAAAATTTCGATATTTTTTTTATTGCATTTTTTGAAAAAATTGAACATTTTTAAGTATGCGTACAAAATTTCAGAGCGATACTTTGATTTTAAAAGAAGTTATGACATTTTTTAATAGTTATTGTCACTACACAGCTGTCAAAGGGGGCGTGGCTCAATGTAAACAAACATTCAATGCCTGCGTTTTTAGCAACAAAAATATGCCATAAATCAGTTTTGATTTTAGTAGATAAAAGCTGTAAGCTAAAGCAAATTACCAAGTGATATTTTTCATATGCAGTGTACACATCTAATTGATTATTTTGTTCTTTAGAGTGCTTCTAGCTGGTTATCAACGTTTTTTTAGAACGACGGTCTTTTTCAAGGCCATATTTGAATACTTTTTTGTTATCGTTTCGTTATTTATTTTGTTAAATAGTTAGTTATATTTTTATTTGTTGCTTTTTGTTATATATTTTTAAAAATGCCACGCAGAAAACGAGCATGCAGTGCACTTCAACGAAGTGCTCTGATACGTTGGAGCAATNAACGACGGTCTTTTTCAAGGCCATATTTGAATACTTTTTTGTTATCGTTTCGTTATTTATTTTGTTAAATAGTTAGTTATATTTTTATTTGTTGCTTTTTGTTATATATTTTTTAAAATGCCACGCAGAAAACGAGCATGCAGTGCACTTCAACGAAGTGCTCTGATACGTTGGAGCAATGGTCAAAGCACCAATTTGTGTTTTATTTATTCATTTTTATGAATGGAATTAAAAGTAATAACATACTTTAATTGTTGACAAATCTTAAAATATTTCTTAGTAATTAGATTATATAAAATTTTCATTGCTAGTTCATATTTTTTTCTGAATAAAGCTACGTAGATAATTATGTGAATTGTGGGAATATCTGATTTTATTTTAGTATTATTTTTCAGACACATTAAGCTTATTTAAAAATTCACATTTTTAGTTTTATTATATTTGATTTAAATCATTGAATTTTTTTTAACAACTGATATCAAGTATAATCTATAAAAATTTGAGTAAAAATATGTTAAATATTCTTGCTTGTAATGAAGTAATATCATTTTTTCGACTCTTAATTTCATGGTAGTATATTGTATGCAAAAACTGCTGAAACTTTCTTATAAATAGACTCTAAGCTTTCAAATTTGTTTTTGGTACTCATAAATATATAAATATATGGTAAATAATTATTTGCATACAAGTTGCGTATGCGATTTCTCTAAATAAATTTTTTTCTTGTTTAAAAACTTTAAATGCCTTTTTCTCAGCTTTCTATTTTGGGGTATTTCAATGCATTCAAAATGCTAAGGCTTTTTAAAAAATGACTCAGAGCTCTAAAATTTTTTATGAGTGTTTTGAGATACATGTTCTTTAAAGATTTGCATGGAATAAGCTTTGTGATTAAAAGAATTTTCTTAAATGATTCTTAAAGTCAAAAAATTTTATTTTTTTGCATTTTTTGGTACTAAATTGAAAAAAAAATTCTAAATAAATAACTATCACATATATTTACTATTCCATGCAAATTCTTATGTTAAAATGTTTAATTAACATTTTCAAAATTTTTTTTTAAATAAGTCTATTTTTAAAAAAGCCTTAGGGTTTNAAAAAAAATTCTAAATAAATAACTATCACATATATTTACTATTCCATGCAAATTCTTATGTTAAAATGTTTAATTAACATTTTCAAAAATTTTTTTTGAATAAGTCTATTTTTAAAAAAGCCTTAGGGTTTTTAAAAAGTTTAAAAAAATTCAATTTTTTTGAAATATTGAACTAACTACTAATTTTTAAAAAGAATTTCTCCTCAAAAATTTTTATTTCATGTTATTTCTTTCATTATCTTTGTATTTTAAACTTTTTAATTTAAAATTACAGTTATTTATTTTTTAGTACCGTGCCGCCTTAAGATACACTAAAAATTTTTACAGTGTCTAAAAAATCTATTATTAATAAAAAATTCTCGATTACTCTATTACAAGTATTGCTTATAAATTTTTATAAAATCTACAGAGCTAGAAGTTTTATTAACATTTTTTAACAAATTGCAAAAGATAATGATTGCAAAAATAAAAAGTTTTATAAGAATAGAAAGTTTTCCTTTCATTTTATTTACTACTTGTGCAATTAAGAAAGAAAGGGAAAACATGAAATTCGCGGTAAAAGTTCTCCATAAAAATCTATTATATCTGTTTTATTAGAAATCTAAATTCTGTTATTAAGAGAAAGTTTCATATTGTTAATTAACGTTATTGTTATTCTTATTTATTGTTAATAAACATTATTAATGGTAGGGGACGTTTTAAATTAAAATAAAAAAAATTACATGGTCAACACTATAAAAAATTTTAAATATAATTTTTAATGGATCGCAAGAGATAATATTTGTAAAATTACAACCTTTAATGATAAAAAGTAATTGCTATATACGGATAAATAACAAAGAAATAATAATAATAAAAAATTCCCATACGCTTTTTCTTAGACATATTCAACTTTTAATGAACTTATATAACTATAATTTTTCAAATATTCAGAGTGTTTGCCGATTATGTGTTTGTACAAAATAAATGAGAATTTCAGTGAAAACGGGTAGAAAATAATTATTAATTAAAGGACAGCCTTTTTATTTCAAATACACATGGTTAAAAGTATGAACCAAATTGTGTTATTACATTTTCCAACTATATCATGAAATTGCAACACAGAATGTCTTACTTCCATTTATTCGAAGGAAAATTCCACATACATTGCTTTCTTCACCCGTCTTTTCAATCTTTTGCATTGATGAAATCTACAACTTCTTTTCGATATTCAATGTAAGGATTCAGTATATGACCTTTACCTTTTACTTCGACTAGTTTAGCATCTGGAAATAATTCCACAATTTCTTCCTTAACATCACCTCTGAAATAAATTAATGAGGAGTAATTAACACTTAACTCTACAGCTGTTACTGCAATTGTTTTCTAACAGTGTGCAGTTTTTGTAATGTTGGGTTGTTTTTTTTCGTATAACATAGGAGTTTATGATAGCGAGTTTGATTACAAGGCAAGATATGACGATATTGCTTGTAGTTATCTATTGAGAGTTGTTGTTCACTTTTTTTCTACATTTCATAAACTTAGCGTGACTTTTTTTATGAATGATCAAAATTGAGAAGAAAAAAATATGTTCAAATCTGCCAGAATATGGTAAAACTTACTGTGCATCGGGCTCTATGGGAACACACAAAGCATGGAAATTTTCATCGAAGCGCTTTGATGATATTTTTTTTTTAAATTAATAATAAAATATGGTTTTATAATATGTGATAAAATTTTTTAAAAGTGGTAAAATTAAGTAATTTTTTCTTGATGCCTCAGAGAATGATTAAAGATTGGCGTTCAAAATTAAGTATAAATGAAATAGTATTTTATTTTAATTTAATTCATTTGTTTGTAACTGAAGAAAGAATAATAACTCAAAGAGCGCAGAACTGTACTCACTGAAAAAATACTCGTGTCGTACTAACTGAAAACAAATATATGTCCAAAAGTGCCAGTATATGGTAAAATTGGCCATGTTTCTTGCTCTATGGCAACACTAAGCAGCTCGACAATTTTTACCGTAGTGATTTGGTAATGATATTGTTTAAATTAACTAGAAAATATGGTTTCATAATGTGTGATAAAATATGGTAATTTTATCATGATACCTTAGAGCATGACATAAAAACCATTTATTCGGTAAAGTTTACTTTGCAGTTTTGTATTTTTACTAAATGTATGGTAATAAGAATTACAATTTTGAAACCAGAATTTCCGTAAACCGTTACCCTGCGAATGGAAAAATTACCAAATGAAAGGTTTAAATATAATTATAAATTGTTACGACTTTGTTTTGAAAATTACAAATTCGTATACAAACCTAAACATTAACGTTTCATTGCCTTCTAATTTTTATTTCTCTTATTTATGAGTGAAATTTTAAAACTTTCACCAAATGTGTAAAACATTCCAACATAATTTTCTTGATTTTTATTAATTTTAGGTTGTTAATATTTTGACTCCTTTAAAACCTCTCATAAATAAGTCCCTGATGTGATGGGAAAGAAAATTGCTAAAAAATTCTAACTCTCTACTCAAACTTAATAATTTTTAAAATTCTTGATTTTTCTATCATTGGAAATGACATCAAAAGAACCACGTTTAAGATAATTAATAAGCTGAAAAAAATTATTCATTAATACATTTTAAAAACTAAGAGACATAACTTTTGAAATTAGACAAATAAGAAACTGAACTTTAATGTCCATATAAAAAGAAAAAAAATCGAATTAGTAACGGGACTGATTCAAGAAGGAACAGAAACTGCAGGGCCATCATAAGGATGTCATCTCTCAATTTATGAGTAATTTTAATAAGGGAACAATTCATGAATGGGTTTAAAAAATTATTTTGAGTGATACATTTTGATATTTTGTGCACTGAATGCATAATGAAAATTCACAGAAAATAGCTGAAACACTTACATTTTGAAAATAGATAATTCTCCATGTATGAAAAGAGCTGGTTTTTCAAATTTACCACTGCTATCAGGCCAGAACTTTGAAGGATTTGCGAAAATTTTGCGAAGGACATTCATATTTGATTTCCAACTGCATTTGCCTTCTGAGCATTTAATTGGATTGAAATCCATGAAATTGTCATCATACTTTATAGTTTCATTCATCTGTGAATAATTTAGAAAATAGTTATTTCGGCAAGTTATATTTCATATGATTATTTATGTAATCAAAAAGTTTGTGATAAAAAAATATTGCTTGGGATAACAATCAAACTAACGAAAAGATAATAAAAGGCTAGTAAAATCTGCGATTCTAGAAAAAGGATGCACTTTAGACCAATTTATTTTTGTTATGAAGTTTATAATTATTTAAAGTACTCAGGAATTCCATGAGAAATACTGTATATGTTTATCTCCCAATTAAATGTTTTTGTGAGCAAATGCTATTATACATTTCATTAAAAAAAGTTTATAAGGAAGGAAAAATTTATTCTAAGTATAATTCGCTCGCCAGGAGTTGGCACTTGGCTCCACCTCCTCCAATTCAGAGTTCATTTCAGCTCGGGAGTGAGAGGGGAAACATGTCCGCCCTTGAAATTGAGACAACCCTTAATGCATGCCGAACACAAACAGTGAATTCTTTTTCAGTCACTTACTTCGCTTTATCATCTACTATTTAAGCTTTCATTACTCTAGCTAATAAAATATATTTAGAATTTAAAAATTTCTGTTTTCTCAGCAAAATGTATCAAAAAGGACAAACAATTCACTCAAAAGAGAGAAATATCATCAAAGTTATGAAATATTTAATGTTAAAAAAATTAGCATAGAGACTGCAAAATAGATATTTTTGTCATTCGATCGCCAAATAGCAACCTTTTTCAGCATTGTTCACATCTTTCTCCCAAAAATAGCGAAATAGTATTGTCGGATACCACGTGACGAAGGCGGAGAAAAGTGCCAACTCCTAGCGAGCGAACTATACTGGGATTATTGAATGTTACGCCTTGGATAATGCTTATTTTGGATTATTGCCTTTTATACATGAAATTTGACTGAAATTGCATATTCGTGCTATGTAAACCTATTTTTTAATTAAGTTTTCAAGAAGACTGAGTTAAATTTCTTGCTCAATGTTTTTTTTTTTTTTTTTTTTTTCCTTTTTTTTTTTNCCTTTTTTTTTTTTTTTTTTATATTTTTTCTCAATGTTCAAAAGCGTCAAACTAGAAATGATCACTTACACAGGTACTTTCAGATTGAAATTTTCTTCCGTTGTTTGGTTACTTATTTAAATGCTTCAAAGTAGCCATCCGCTACACTATTTCATTGTTTTTCGGTTTTACTCAGCAGCATGATAGAAGTAAGCACTTGAATTTTATATATACATTTAGTATTTTAAAGGTTTTTTTTCTGTTCTTTTTTTAAACTCAAGTTTTCACATTAAAGTACAACTCATGAACTCAGAAATCCAGTCAAATGTTTGATTTTTCGAGGTACTGTTTATACTTCAAACATTGTTAAGATGAAATTCAATCTTTACGTAGCTTTATATTCTTGCGAATAGTATTAATTGGTTAGAGTTGCATAAAAAATTTACCCAATCACGTTAAAGTATGCTGAAAATGGAATAAATCATAAGCATTCAAGTTATATGATATCTATAACTTGATATCAAGATATAGATATCTAGTTAAGACTTTAAAAGTCTGCGTGTCGAATAGATACAATTTTTTGACGATCTTAAAAATTATTTGCGGATGCAATACTTTGATATCTAATTTAATAATGTAAATACATGTTCTTAATAAATGAAACTTTAATGTTTTGACATTTTTAGTTTTTATAACTCAGAAACCATTAAACTGATTCAATTTTATTCAAGTTTTGAATGTGGTTGTTAAAATTGGGTAGTTTACAAGATGGAATTGTTGAAAAAAATATTGTCATAATAGCGAAAAATTTTTGTTGTCATTAAATTTAATTTAAATTATAAAAAAAATTGTGAAATTATTTGCAGGTAAATGAGTTTTATCACTTTATATAAAAATCTTCTGAACAACTCTATTACTTTCTACATTACTGGGGTTGCCAACATTAAAATTTTTTGGAATAAGGTTGAAATTAACATACATATTAACTAAATATATGTTTCATGACTTTGATGTCAGTTAAGCGGTGATTGTTTTCTATACTGTTAGAGCTTGTAAATATAATTTTTTCCTCAATTAAAAACTCATGGATTTAAAGGTAAAAAAAAACAGAGCTTCCAAAATTTATTTTTAATATAATAAAGCAATTGACCTATTCAAACTTTAAAAACATGAAATTTGGACAAAATATTATAAAATTTTCATTCAAAGATTTGTAAAATTTAGCATTTGAAAATTGATTTTCGGTAATCCCTGGCAAAAGTTGTCTTCCCGAGGGACATGATTGCGAAAAAATAATGCGTAGATCATACTGAAACTTAGAGCTTCTCTTCTGGACAGAATTTACTGGATGTTATATCAAAAAATAAAAATAATAATTTTAATAATAAATAAAATATGAATTTTTGGTGAAAAAAAATTATGAGAAGTATCAGTTGCGTGAAGAATAAATTCTGAGTAAAATTCAGGCTATTCTTTCTTGAAGAAATCTGCAAAATTTCGATTAGGTTTTTCTTTTTTTTTTCATTCCTAAAATTTTGAATTAACTAACGGTCAAGCCCATTGCAAGGAGATTCTAAAGGCTTTCTCTTCAAGAGTTTTACTTACAGTTAATATACTAATGATACTAATTACATAAAATTTTAATACAATTTTGAAATAAAAAAAATTTAAAATATGCCAGAGTAGAGAGCGTAGTTTATTAAAGGGCTCTTGATCAAAATCATTAAACATTTCGTACTTTTTGACTAATACGCACAGAAATAATTGTTTGAAAAAATATTTTTGCCGAAAAAGAGTATAATTGACAGTTTTGTGAATTTAGAGCCATGAGATTCAGAAAATACAGAAATAGTATGAAACTGTTTCTAAAATATCAAAACAAATTTAATAGTTAATTTGTTTCTAATTTAATGAAAAATAATTTAGTTCCTGTACAAGCTGCAGAAAATAGCATTTAAAAAATGCCAATTTTTAGAACGTTTCTTGATACTTTTTTTCACTAAGCTTCTAAAATAATTCTTGCCCTTCATGACAATTACCAATTCATACAATTCTTTGCTGTTAAAACAAACTGAGATAAACATAATTATTACTTGCAAAAATATTCTCCAAAAAAATACGAATACTTTATTAAAAAATAATTTACGATATATTCAATTAAACCGTCAGGAAGGGTTTTTTCGTAAAAACCCCTTCCTGACCATGGTTTCCATGGTCAGTACAAAAAATTGGTTTAGTTTTAGAAAAAAGTATTTTGCAGAAAAAAAGTACAATTGACAGTTAATTTAGATCCATGAGATTTAGAAAATACAGAAATAGCATGCAAATGTTTTGAAAACACATTTTCCCATCAAAAACAAATTTAATAACCAAAACAGAAATTGTTTAGTAACAGTACATGATTCTGAGAAACACACTTTAAAAAAATTCCATTTTTAGAACGTTTCTTGGTACTAAAAATGGTTTGTTGGAACCTTTCTTTTTTCACTAAGCTTCTCAAGTATTTCTTGCACTTCAGCACAATTACCAATTCATACAATTCTTAGCTGTTTAAACAAATTAAGGTAAAAAAAATTCTTACTTGTTCAAATGTTCTCTCAAAATATTTTATAATATATTTCTTAGCTTCGTATTCAGTTAAACCGTCAGGAAGGGGTTTTCGTAAAAATTCTGACCAATCTTGATTGGGATCAAATGTTTGTTGACCTTCCTCACTCATCCCATTTGGTCTCATGTCTTCTACAACTATCTTTTCCACTTTTTCAGGCTGAAATGTGTAATATATTTAATAAAAAAGTTGTTCATTAAAATTAAATACAAATATAATGCAAAGTTCAAAAAACATTATTGCAAGACTATGGCAAATTTTTAAAATGCAATGTTCAAATCCTTGAACTGATAGTAAAAAATAAATAAGTAAGAAATTTTCTCCTGTTTTCTTCAGTGACTTGCCAGAGCCTCAAAAAGAAAATAAAAAGGTTTCAGAAACCCAGATAATTTGACATTCCTAAGGTACCTTGGTGAAGACAGGGTTGGTAATTTTAATATTTATATTTGGATATTTAATTTTCATGTATTCTGTTACAAACGTACCTCACACCAATCAATACAACACCATAGTTTAAAAGACTTCATTTTACAGTGCTGCAAAACGAAAGTTACTTTCAGTTTGAAAACAATAAGACTTTGTGGGAAAAATATGGAACAACATTAGTTGAAAACAGATTTACCTAATCTGTTTTTATTAAAAATAAATTAAAGTTGTTAATGTCGAAAAATATATTTTTAGTTATATCATAAACAAAAATATCATTAAAACTTTTTTTTTAATGGAAAGGTAAGGAAGGCAAAGAAACTGGAAACAAATTTTAACATATGCACTTTTAAAAAAGGTTTAAATATGAGCCCTAACAACGCTGCTTGGGTTTTAAAGCCTCCTTAATAACTCTCTTCATAGTGTAGAGAAAAAAAAAGAGCTATCAATTTAAATGACATTTGTTCTACTGATCTGATTTTTGCATACTAATTTCCAATCTTACTGATTTCGACCTCTTTAATTAATTAGTGCTAACTATTACTTACTTTTTGGTTCGAAAAAATTAGAACAGACGAAATTTAGACCTACGAAATCAGACCAAAACATACTTTCTCTGAACTAACATGCCTTTCTAACTAACATATTTTGATTTTTGATCTTAAAAATATCAGAAAAATTTCAATAATCAAAAAATACCTATTCGAAAAATATTCCATAGCTCAATATCCATTGTCTCCATAGCTCAATGGTGTGTGGTTGAATTTTTGGTCTCCTTAACATTTTTTTTTCCTTTTTGTGTTTTTCCCCATAGCTTGGAAACTTTTTTCATTATTTTATCATTATTTTACTTAATTTTTTTTTTATCATTATTTTACTTAAAATTAGTTTGAAAAATGTTAAATTGTAGAGTATACCAATTTTGCATCCTTTTAAACTACGCAATTTTTAATGTCGGAATAAAAAGAAATTGACAAAATTTACAGAAAAGCTCTTGATTTAAGAGATAAAAAAACTTGTTTTTTAATTTTATTTCTCAAAAACTATCCAACGGATTTTTTTTCCTTTCAAATTTTGGGTAGTTTAATTTAAAACTGTATTATTTGAAATGTTATAAAAATTCATTTCGAATATTTTTCAGCTATTATTAAATAAAATATTAAAAAATAAAATATTAAAAAATATAAAATAATTGCTAAAAATCATCTTTCAGATTCAAATTGCTTTACAATTGTGCAGATATTATTTGATTATCTCAAACAGTTTCAAGGATATGATAAATTGCGGAAAAAGTGAAATAAATATTAAGTGAACCAAAATTCCTAATACCCTACTGATCTCTTGTTGTGTGCACTATATTTTCTAGATTGCGTCTACATCCATATTTTGATGGTTCAAAATCCATAAACACCAATAAAAAGGTAAGTTTTTATTCAGAGAAAGTAAGCATTTGTGTCTAATTTCCCAACTTAATTAATAGTTGAAACTATTTAATTATAATATTTGAAATTTTTTTTTTTGAATCATTATACTTTATAGGTAAAAATCGGGTCAATGGGAGAAATATTACCCAGTTTAATATTTCTCTTTCCTTATGCTCACTATATATGGAAATATTAATAATATAATGCTCAAAAGTATCCATAAGAGTCTGTTTCTGCAGTGCACCGATAAAAGGTGCGTGCATGTTGCCAGAAGAAAATATAAAACTGAAATAATTCTTACATAAGTAAGGGCAAACTCGACAGCAACTTTTCCTCCCATGCTATGCCCAACTAGGACTATTTTATCTGCCTCAATTGTTTTCATGAAAAGTGCCAAATCTGAAGCCATCGCTTTTGAATCAGCTTCTTCACTCCATGGGCTGTCTCCATGGTTACGTAAATCAGCAGCATAAACCTGAAAATAAATAGTCATTTTTCAAAAATTTGGAAATTATTATTTTAAGAGTTGAAATAGAATAATTGAAAAAAATGCCTATTTAAAAGTCGATTAATAAGGTATTTTTTCTTTAGTTATTGCTTAACTATTTAATTATCATTATAGCCCTACCTTAATTTATAATCGACTATGGATGGCTGAATTATTTCCTCAATTGCTTTCAAAGTCTAGTTAAATTATATATCATAAAGTATAGATATATTTAAATTTCATGAAGCGTTCTTGGTTTATGACGAAACTGTTTTTTGGGGAATAGTGGAGGAAAAATTTTGTCAAAATAAAGGATATCATTTATTTATTGTTTGAAGATACGAATTTCGTTAAAATCTTTAAGTAAAATGTGATGTATCGACTTACGCAATTTATTAAGAAAATAAATTAAAAGGAGTGTAGGTGAATTAGTTGCCCGTTAATGAATTCGAGAAACATGTTCAAGTAAGCGAAATGAAATCTGTACCATCCAGTTTTACAGATAAGAAATTTGGAAAATCGGATGAAAAGTAAACCACTACTGTGGTTTTCATTAAAGGTTTATCTACACTGATTTTAAAATTTAAAACAAGTTTCGAAGCCAAAAACATTTGATGAAAAGTAACTAAATGGACAGAAGTGCGCAAAATGCACAAAGCATTACAAAAGATTTACAAAAAATTAAAACCTCAAAGCGTGTAAAAGATTCAAAATTTGGACATATAAAAATTCCTCAAACAACACCGAATTTCAGCACATTTATCCAAACTTGTCATTAAAAATTTCTACCGGTGATGTATCAGCAGCACCACTCAGGACAGTTACTCAATATAATTATCCTATTCAATATAATATTCCATACATAATCTTAAAATTTATCTTATTACTCAATAAAAATTCTCAATTTCTAATTAAAAAAATAATTTGTATAAAAAATTACTTTTTGTGAGAATTTTTAAGTAATATCAAAAATTCAGAGCACAATTCTTTAATTGTTTTTTTTTCTCGCAATATTTACTGAATCACGAACTGAGAAGTTTAAAAATTATTTTACTTTTAATTTAGAGAGTAATTTTATAAAAAAAGCTGTACAACATTTCATATTTTTTAAATGCAAAATGGCTCTATATTTTATAGAATTTCCCCAAATAATATGTATAAAAGCTTTTATAAAACCTAAAGTGACGAAACAATGGATTTACTTACTTTCCTAGCTGTTTTTAAAGCAAGGTATTTTGCTATATCCATATACATTTCTTTGAACCAGGTAAAACCATGCAATATAAGAATTGGTGCTCTGTCGTCTGTTTTGCCATTGTATGTAATGCTCATGCACGTATATGCTAATGGCAGTGGCTCTGGAGTATTAGAGCTAAAGGAATAAAATAGTAGGTATTTTTAGTTATAAGTGTCTATAATGTATTAAAAACATTGAATTCACATTCATGAATCGAAAACTCTCTTTTTCAAAGTTTCTTTTTTAAATTTTTTTTTTATTTTTATTTTGTGGAGGAAAAAGTTTTCTTGCGAATATTTTTTCAAACCCCAAATTTGGTTTAAAAATAGTTGTTCTCTCAAAAATAGATAAATACTAAATTAATACTGATTTCTGAATTACGATTTACTAATTTTGGGCTTGACTTTAATTATAATAAATCATAAAATTATTTTGTGCTTGGTGAGAATGCAGAGAAACGCATTTTCATCCAAATAAAAAAAATTGAAAAGATCTATAAGTAGTTTCCTCATTTATGTGAAAAAATCATGTAGTAATGCCCCTAGAAGATTGTCGCAGATTTCATGATTCCCACTGTTATATATAACATTTTTAAACTTGCACCTTTCGCTTAAAAATAAACCAGAAAATGGCGTTTAAGAAAAATCTGTAGCTTTAGGAGCAAAGCGAATTTCTGATTTGAAATTCCCTCACTCGAATTAGGCAATATGAAGTATTTGTGTATACACTACAAAAAATTTGTTCCCAAGTGTTATTAATGCATTTAAATTAGCAAAAATCAAAATAAATCTGAACAGCATTTTAGAAAAACGGGAAATTGTCCATTTTTTTTAAAGGATTTTATTTTATTTTAAAGAGACCCATTTGGCATTTTTAGTGTTAATACACTAAGACGTTTCTAAGAAAAAATACAATACATTTCCAGCAAAAATTGTCTATTAAAATAAAAGGAAATTTGCGTAAGAACATGCATTTTAATACTCACCTAGGACATGAATCTTCTGAATGAGGTTGTTCAGGACAATTTACTCTAATGGAAGGAACAAAAAAATTGATTTGATTTATTTAAAACCAGCACTCATAGATTCAAGATAATTAAAATAATAATAACACAGTGCATTAAATTCCTAAAATGTTTCTAAATATTCCCGCAACAATATTCCTTAGTTGTTGCCTCGGTAACAATATTTAAAAATAATTTTCTAGTAATTACATTATTTAATTCTATAACTGCTGTTTCTATGTAGGATATTTTTTATTGTTTTCATATTATTTGCACCATTCAAACAGTTAATTCCAGGTTTCTACTATAGTTTTAGTCTCTTTAAATCATATCATAATTTCTATAACTCCTCAAATTTTTTTTCGTAATAATTGGAAATAGTTGGTAAAGATTTGTTGAGGATAAGTTTCGAAAATAAAGATATTTTAGCAGTACTTGTATTTTTGTGGTTTTCAATTTAGAATATTTTGTTTTGATTTCAAAGATATTTGTTACTAGCTTTGCTAATTGAAAAATTTAATAACATAAAAATTAGTAAAGTCAGAAGTCTTCAAAGACTAAGATGTTTGCTGTTTATAAAATTTCGTGGGCACTTTTGAGATTTTGTGAAATTTTTTTCAACCGATTTTTGAGTATTGGTTTAAATAAATTTTCTAAATTTTTCAATGATCCAAAAATTTTATTTTTTTATCTAGCCCAATATACAATGCATATTATTGACTGATGTATTAAAAATATTATAGACAATATGCGATACATACAACGACAGACTACTTACTCAGTTTGCTTCGAAAAAATGATACAGCTTAATCCAAGGAACAATGCCAAAAACAACGCATTCTGATGCAGCATCATTTTATCCTAAAATAGTTAATGTACTTTGTAACACTGTACTTTGTTACACTGTAAAAACATCCCAGATCATTATTAGGGTATGAAGTACGGACACTTTGGGTGCATTATCCGTTTACCGTATCCATTTTACAGTAATTTTTACAGTAATATTTATTTAATTACAGTGATTCAGAGATTTTACTGTAATTATTGCTGTAAAAATTACGGCATATCACATTTTTTATTCTGTAGCATGTTCCATAAAATTGGATTTCACGATAAAATGTAACAGCACCCAAAGTGAGTACCCTTTTACTTTAATCTGATCCAGAACTTTTTACAGTGTATGTCATGAAAGTTTAAAGATTTTAAATAGTCGATGATTCAAATAATAAATCGTAACATGTTTCAAATATTAAAACATTAAAACTTTTCAACATATTTTTTAATTAATGTTTAAATTTTTAAATCCAAATTCGGCCATCTGAGAATTCATTTGTAAGATGGGCACGTCTGCCCGATACTACATTTGTCCGACTGTATGGACGTATAAAAGGTGTACTGTCGAGCAAACGTATCTGTCGGAAAAACGGCAGGTGAACCCTTAAAATCGATGGTGATATAAATATTAAATCAATTAATTTGACAGTTTTAATCTCTTCTTAGTCGGGGTCAATTGGATGTCTTAAGTTCAATTGTTTTGTGCGACACTGTTTCTCATATGCCGATTTTTAATTAAAGAAATTGCATCGTTAAGAGAGCGAACTAGAGATAGATCAGGTAAGTTTAAGATATTTTAACCAGCCTTTCAACATCTTCTGTTACTAAAATTGAGAGTTTGATACAAAATCGTAAACGGCAAGTTTAATAATAATAATAATGCATCATCGTTTGCGAATAATATAGCTGCATTGATTAGGGTAAAAACGATACACTTCCATAAAAATCAGTATTTTTGTGCGTCATAATTAATGAAGGAAATACTACATCAACATATTGCCTTATTTAACTTCTTCTGGCTTTCACTAACAACCCTAAACATCATGAAAGGGAGAAACTTGCCAATTGAATTTGATTTCTGGACCCCTCATAACACCCCTCATAATCCCTTAAGTTCCATCGTTCCTTTATGGCTACGAATTTAATTTTTTGACGAAATGAAAAGTATAATAATTTTAATGTTAAGTTTCATCTGAGAGGATAAAGATATATGTCTACTAAACTAGTTTCTAACTAACCAGCTTTCTTATATTACTGAAGGTCCTCTCTTTTTTGAGGGTTCTTATCAGTTAAAAGATGGTTTGCTATGCAATCAACGAATATTATTTTCTGTGTTTATTTCGTATTGTATTTAAAAATTAGCACTAGCTAATTGACTTATCATAGGGTGTTTTTCTCCCTTTAAGATAGCATTTTGATAACTATATCATTTAATTAGAAGTTCAAGGTGTTAAGTTTATTGTTTTAGCACAGTGTACAATGCTAAAAAAAGGATAAATTAATGAAAAAATATTTTTTTTAAAAAGCGTTTTTAATCGGTCAATAGCATTATTTCCCCCAGAGAAGCAGAATTAAAAAGGACGTTTGGATGAAAGTAATTAATGATTTTATTGTTAAAAAGATAAGCAGATTTGTCTTTTTTTAGTAAAGAACCTTGCGCCCAGAAGTTTTTATCATTTTATAATGACAAAAAATCTGATACAAAATAATCCTACTGACGGCAAATATCTAAATTAAAATGAAAACCACGGAGTCTTCTAACCAGTGAGTGTATGCACTTGCTTTATTTTGAAATTTGCATAAGTAATTGAGCCAATTATTTAAATTTTATGAGTTATGATTCTGAGAAAAGTTTTACTAAAATAAAACTTATCATCATATAAATCTGTTTTATTGGAGTGAGGCCTTTAAGATAAACTTCGCTCTTTCTAACTAGATTTTTGAGACTGCACTTTATAAATACTGTCATTATTTCTCATATAAAACTCGAACAATATCCCGAAAGGCAGCCTCACAATAAGTAAATAGTTTTTTATTTATGTACTTTTATTGCAATAAAATTATTTCTGTTGTCTTTCTGATCTACAATGTAAAAAATTCTGGATTAAATTACCATAAAATCCATTTTTACCGGAACGTGTTACGAAATAAAAAATCTGATATACCATAATTTTTACAGTTATAATTACTGTAAAATCACTAAGTAAGTAAATATTGCTGTAAAAATTGCGGTGTATTATTTTGAGGCAAAACTGGATTTTACTGTAAAATGGATTTTTCGGAGGATGGATCCAAAGTGCCGAATCTTAATACCGAAATTTGATCCAGAATTTCGGACAATGTATATCCGAAAGCCAACATAAATTATATTTTTGCAATAACATAGAAACATATAAATACAGTGCTTTTACTGTGTAACCGCAGTAGGAGAGCTAAAATCCAAGAGTTCTAAAATTATTTGTTGACCAAATACAAAATAATTAGATTGTAATCATAAATAATGAAATATATTGCTTTTCCCTTCATCCTGTTGTGTAGTTAATCATTAAGTTTCATCCCACAGCATTTTGATAGATCAAAATAATAATAACTGCTGCAACTTATGAATTAACTTTTCGAGAAAAGGCCCCAGAGCAGACAATTTTTGAAACTGAATTATATTTATTTTTTTCCAAAATCTCCAATTTGAATTATTTTAAAATTTTTGAGTTTTAATCTTCGATGTACAGTGCGCAAAAAAAAATAAAATAAAATAATAGACCACCGTCAATAACTTTTGATGTGATGATCGGATCTTCACAACTAGGATTGAATCAGAATGGTTCGAGGGGGTCAACCTTAAATATGTTAATTAATTTGAGCAGACGTTATTTTAAGTTACGAAATCAGACACAAAAACGTACTTTTTCTGAATAAACATGCTTTTTTTTGACAGATTTGGATTTCTGATCCACAAGATATAGGGTTTAGCCGCGATCAGGGAAATATGGTCCCAATAGTTTGGTCAGGAGAGCTGTGCTAAGTCTATAATTCTCAGTGTTAGTTTTATTTTTCGCGTATTTTGTTATATCTCGAGAGCTTTTTAAACAAATTGAAAAACTTTTGCATTTATATATGTGTTGGGATTGTTAGGTAAGAAAAATACATTAAAGCATATTGAAAATAAATTACTCGATAAGATTTTGATAAAAAAATATTTGGCACTTAAACCGTAAGTGGTAGCCCAGATCTATAAAGGATAAAAAACAAAAAAACATACCCTTTTTTTGCAGTAGTGACGATGAAAATAAAATCAAAAAAATCTGTGATCAGTCACTAATGAGACAGTAATTAAAAACAAGAAGTTCTTTTATTTTCTTCTGCTGCATAAAAAGAGGACAAGGCACTCATGTTTGGGTGGAGTTGTGGGAGAGTAGTGGCTCAGACATGGAAATAAGCTGGACGACGTCAGGGAGACAGGGGATCAACAACAAAGTAACGGTTGACAAAAAACAACTGTATACGATAGCATCGTTAGATCAATTTTGGAGAGGCAAAGGTCGATCTGCATGGAAATCAGTTGGCGGTCATTAATTTTATACCGGAAAGCTGGACGACGTCAAGGAGACCGGGGATCGACAGCTAAATGACGGTAAAGAAAAGCACTGGATACGATCGTATCGTATGGACTTAGAGCATATCTCGAGAGCATAATGATGACTGCCGATGAGTTTCACTCAGATGTTGGGATCGTGATTTACACCTTCAATTTATATATCATGATAAAATACGCCATACTTTTGTTAAAAAGAAGCAGAAATTATTATTATTGCAAAAAGAAGCAGAGTTACTGATGACTTGATGAAAAAAATCAAAAAATTGAACTAAAGACGTCACAAAGACAATGAGGAAGGAAAAATAAAACCGCACTGTGGCGGAGAAGTGACGATGATACAAAAATCGAATGCGCATGTGACAAAAATGAAGAAGCTCTTATAGAAAACAGTTAAAAAAGTTACAGTTACATCAATTAAGCGCGTTACGGTTTCGAAAGTGGTCAGAAACACTTTTTGATCTCTTTACAATTACACTACTGTATCTACAACCATATGCAAATATTTTACACTCTCTGCAAAAATCAAAAATGTATGTAATAGAAATTATAATTTATTACATACTAAAAAGAAAAAAATGTACTGCACAGAACTCAGGGTCGAAAAAGAAAAAAACTGTCATTCGAGATTGTATCAACATTCAATTACAATTAAATGGTTAAGTATATTTTTAAAAAAACTTACTAATATTGAAATAAAATATTAGTTAAAAAAATTTGTAATCAGTTAGACAAAAACAACAACAAATACCGACACAACCCAGTAATCATTATTTGGAGAATCACTAAAAGAAGGAACTGCTCATCATTCATTGACCATTCGCAAAAACAAAACACTTTTGAATACCCCTTTCAAAAATTTAATTACAAACAGTAGGTTAACAAAATATATGTATAGAATTTTTATTTATAGGTCATTGGCATTGTATGACAACTGCTAACCTCGAAATCTTTTAAAAAGAAAATTAATATTTATTATTTTTTATTATTTTATTTAATGACAGTAAAAAAAAATTAGTTGTAAGGTATGCAATTTTTTTCAGCATTTTAAAGAATGTAATTCAGATGGCTAATTACCAAAGTTAAGCGAAATCGTTAGAACTTCTCCTTAGAAATCGATTTTTAAGTCGACGATGTTTGTGAAATTTGATTTCTGATGAACGGTTTGACCGATTTCGCTAAAATTTTATTTTTTGCCAATCAAAATTTTATTTTTTAAAATGGTGAAAAAAATTGTATACCTTACAAAAACATTTTTTTACTATCATTAAATAAAGTAATGAAAAATAATACATATTTTTTAAAAGTTATTTTTTGCAAGGAATTATCTTTGGATGAATGAAATTTATAAATGCTTGCAAAAATTTTTCAATTCTTTTTAAAAGCCTTCGAGATAAGACGAAATACGCAAAAAATAAAACTAACGTTAAGGGGTTCAGACTTTGGAGCACTGTCCTGACCAAACTATTGTGACCATATTCACAGATTGCAGTTACCCCATATATTTCAGGGTCAAAAATCTGAATCCGTACGAAAAAAAATTATGTTTCTTGAAAGAATGAGCGGTTTGGTGAATGATTTCTTAACTTAAATTATCGCCTGTACTAATAAATTAGCATGTTTGAGGTAAATCCTTCGAATATTAAAATTGAGTCGTAGAACTTGAAGATCCGATTATTAGATCAAAGCATTTTCAGTGTCAAATTGTTTATTTTTTTGCGCACTATGCAGAGGTCAAATTGACGTATACGCTACAAATATTCTACTTAAGACTACTGATTTTACTTAGAAAATATATGTAAAACAATATTATGTAGAAAAATGATTGGATTGAAAAGAAAAAAAATATAATATCGTTTGAAAATAAATGACAAAACTTACGTGTAAAAACCTATAATAACTGTTAATCAATTGATTTAAATCGCACAAGTAGAGAAAAAATACTCAAATTAACATTATCTCTTTATCTTACTCCAATGTCATTTTTTTCTTTTCTTAAAAAAAAACCTCGATGCTTATCATTAAAAAGATATCGAGGAAATGTGGATAAACAAGAGGAATATAAATTGTTTCAATTGCTTTTTTTTCTAAATAAGTAAAAAAAAAAACATTTTATCCCTTAGTGAAACATTTTTTAATAAATTTGATATGATATGAGGGATTATATCTTTATATGAATTTAAAAAAAAAAAAAAAGGAATTAACTCAATCTTAATGGTCGCGCTAAAACTCAATCTTAATGGTCCCTCAGCGGCCTAAATTGGAATATTCTAATTGATTAGAGCAGATGATATTTTAAATTAAAACAATGCTATTTTCAGTGTTCAATATTTGAAATTACGTTTCTTTAAGTAGTCAAACTTCATTATATTTAGGTAGAGTCATTAAAATAATAAGTATTATTGGTTTATTATACCAATCAACATAAGTTATTCGATAAAAGAAGAATTTATTATATTTAAAAAGAAAACATTGAAAATGTTTCACTTTTAAACATAAATGAAATATTTTTAAAACTGCCACAGTTTTACAATTTAATTAAAGGAAATTTAAAAGTGCAATTATCTTTTTCAAGACAAGAGATGACTGTAGCTCCGGCGAAATTTCCTACCGCCTTAAACAAATGTGCAAGAAGCTATCGTTTTCTTAACTTTCACTCAAAATGATCTATAAAACTATATAGTTTATTTAAGTAACAATCTTTTGTAGTTATAAATATTTATAAAAACCCAACGGTATAAATTGAATTTGGTATAATATAGAGTATGACCCTTTTTAGCAAAAAATCATACATAAAGTAGATATTAGCTTTAGGATATTTTTGGAATGGTATGGTGAGCTACAATTGAGGAGTCTAAAACATCCAAACATGCTGCGGGTGACTCATATCTAGAGATTTGGCTGCAAAACTCCATTCCTTGCATATCTTCGTCTCCAAATTTTATCTCGGTTGACCCGCTTCGTATTCCGTAAGAAATGAACTGTAGGCAGACAGCGCCTCTGAACAATATTACATAGGGCTCAAAGTGCTCCACCGTTCATCTAAGAGATGCCTGGGAAATACAGATCTATAAAGAACTTTCTCTGCAATCGGGCTGACAATGAGTCTATGTACCAGTTTTGGTACAATGAGGCTAATTCTTTTTATAGAAGAATTCCAATTCTATCTCTCAATAGGTAATCTCTACGTTTTCATGTATGAAGAGAACTAATATCAACATTTTTTTGAATGAACTGTCATGGAAGTCGAGATGATATGGTCCGGCTAGCGTGATGTTGAAAGACGCATGTATTTGCACGTTTTTCAGAAATGTACTCTGACTTCTCTGAGTTATACGGCTGTGATCGTAGAGCGCTATACAAGAATATTCTCAAGCGATGACGGCCCTCAGCTCATGTTTATGGATGGTAATGAGGATCCATACAGGAATACCTTGAAGCCGAAAACATACAGACAGTGTAGCGGCTAGCCCGACCTCCAGACTTGAATTTTATAGGACATGTTTCAGTGCATTGGTCACCCCTTAAAAATCTCATACCACATATTTATCCCTTATCAAGAGTCATATCTTATATTTAGCCTTTATCAAGGGTCCTATATCATATTTCACTCTCCACAAGTGTAGTTTTGTAGCACCATTTTTGAACTATTTGGTTGTTATGCCCATGAGTTTTTGATATTGAGCTCGTCTCATTGAAATTCTGTCATCATGGTGTTTCATACTTTGATGTGTTTTCATGTAGAATATCACATGGTCAGGTTCTTATCTTGAGTTCTCTGGATCTTCTTTGCTATCTTGAGTTTTCCTGAACTTTTAGTCTTGAGCACATTTCCATACAGATCATGTCGATTATGTAACAACGACTTCATATAAATATGGATAAATGTATTTAGATGAATTTATGTTTAAAAAGTGTATTTTTTTACTAAAGTAACTTAAGTCTTGATTTAAAATAAAAGAAATTAAAAAAAATATATTTAGCTATTTATTCATTAGAAACCGTAAGTCCCAGGCATCTTTGATGAAAAGTTCAATTTTGATGAAACAGTAATGCATATTATTTTGAAAATATATCGTGATACTTTTCCAAATATTTTATATTATTGACCCAGAAGCACTACATGCATTTCCTTTGCTTTGAAGAGAATTGCTTTTTAATGTTTAATTTTTTCATTGCTGCTATTAAAAATTTTAGAGGTACTGAACATCAAAAATTGTTTACGTAAATACTTGGGGAATATAGGAAAATACTTGGTGTTTTACTACACCAAGAATTATCCTTGGTCTTTGGTTACACTCAGATATATCAGTATAGTTTCACTACACCATTTTTTGTCTAAAGTAGTTGGCAAAATTTTTGGTCTTAAGGTACACTAAAATCTATCATTGACTAAATATTCTCGTTTACCTGATTACAAGTATAACTAATAACTTTTTATTAAATCCACAGAGCTAATAGTTTTATAAAAAATTTTGAGCAGATTGCAAGAGATAATGATTGCAATAACATAAAGTTTTATAAGAATAGAAAGTTTTCCTTTCATTTTATTTGCTAGTTATACAATTAAATAAGTCGAAAAAAGGAAAACATGGAATTCGCGGCAAAGGTTCTGCATTAAAAATCCCTTTATATCTGTTTTATTAGCAATCCAAATTCTGTTGAGAGAAAAATTCATTATTATTGATTATCTGTTATTACCTACTTATTGTTATTGAACGTTATTAATGGTAAGGTACGTTTTATATTAAAAAAATTACATGGTCAACAGTATCAAAAATTTTAAATATCATTTTTAAGCAAAAGATAATATTTGTAAAATTACAGCATTTATTAATGTAACAAATAATTGCTATATACGTATCAATAGTAATGAAAATAGTAAAAATGAAAAGGAAATTATGACATTCTTAGACATATTCAACTTTTAATGAACTTATCTAAAACATTTTCAAATATTCAGTGCCTTCGGCAGCGGAATATGTGCTTTTACAAATTAAAGAAAAGCTCAGTGGAAACTGGTAGGAAATAAATATTAATTAAAAGACAGCCTTTTTATTTTAAATACACGTGATTAAAACTATAAGCCAAATTGTGTTATTACATTTTCCAACCTATATCATAAAATTGAAATACAGAAGTGTCTTTTTTGCGTCCATCTAATCGAAGGAAAATTCCACATACATTATTTTCTTCATTGGCTCTTCATTATTTTGCATTTATGAAATCTACAACTTCTTTTCGGTATTCAATATGAGGATTCAGTATATGACCTCTACCTTTCACTTCGAATAGTTTAGCTTCTGGAAATAATTCTTCAATTTCTTCTTTAACATCAGCTCTGAAATACATTAATAAGGAGTAATTAACACTTAACTCTACAGTTGTTACTACAATTGTTTACCAATCATGTGCAGTTTTAGTAATGTTGGGTTGTTTTTTTTTGTATAACATAAGAGTTTATGATTGTGAGTTTGATTACAGATCAAGAGATGACGAGTTTGTTTGTAGTTAACAGTTTAACGTGGTTGTTTACTTTCTTCTGTATTTCATAAATAGCGTGACTTTTTTTAAGAATGATGGAAATTTAGGAAAAAAGTATGGTCAAAACTACCAAAATATGGTAAAATATACTGTGTATCTGGCTCTATGGGAACACAAAAAGCGCGGTAATTTTTATCGAAGCACTTTGGTAATAAATTTTGGTATAATTAACAACAAAATATGGTTTTATAATATGTGCTAAAATTTGGTGAAAGTGGTAAAATTTGGTAAGTTCTTTCATGATGCCTGAATGCATGATTAAAAATCGATGTTTAAATATGTATAAATTGAATAATATGTTTAAATATGTATAAATTGAGTAATATGTTTAAATATGTATAAATTGAATAATATGTTTAAATATGTATAAATTGAATAATATGTTTAAATATGTATAAATTATTAAGTATAAATTGAAATAGTATTTTATTTTAAGCAAATTTCCTTGTTTGTAACTGAAAAAAGAATAGGAATCAAAAAAATGAAAATGTATTAAGATCATGTTTAATATTTTCTCAAAAAATTTTGCAGAATGAAAAATTTTTAGCAAGCATTACACTAAAATTTTTATTTTTAACACAGCCAGCTTTAAACTCTGAGGGAGCATGAAGCATGATTGGTATATTCGTAGTATGTAAGTATATCTTATCAATAAAACAAAGGTGAGTAGTTAAAGAGTCAGTTACTGAATCAGTTAAAGATGATAACTGCGTCCTTTCAAGGTATTAACCGATATTTGTCAAATTTGGCAATTAATCAACTATCATGAAGGGATACCTTTCGTCAGCTGATAATTTAAAAAAAATCCGCGTCCTTTTCTCTGCCCCCACCATAGAGTATACACTCCTTACGATTGAAATTTTAAAATTTTTATCAAATATGCAAAACATTTAAACACAATTGGTTTTAATTTTTATTTTTTTTATTAATTTTAGGTTTACAATATTTTGACTCTTTTTCAAACCTCTCATAACTAAGCCCCTGATATGATGGGAGAGAGAATTGTTAAAAGAATTCTAACCATCTTCTTTTTAAAATTCCTGCTTTTCCCAGCATTGGAAAACATATCGAAAGAGCCAAGTTCACGATAATTAATAAGCTGAAAAAAATTATTAATTTATAATGAAAAATTCAGAGAAAATAACTGAAAGGTTAATTATAACACTTACACTTTGAAAGGAGATAATTCTCCATGTATAAAAAGAGCTGGTTTTTCACATTTACCACTGCTGTCCTTCCAAAACTTTAAAGGATCTGCGAAAATTTTGCGAAGGACATTAATATTCGATTTGTAACTGCATTTGCCTTCTGAGCATTTGATTGGAATGAATTCATTGAAATTGTCATCATACCTTAGAGTTTCATTCATCTGTGAATAATTAAAAAAAGTTATTTCAACAAGTAATATTTCATAAAGTTATTTATCTAATAAAAAAGTTAGTGATTAATAAAATATTGCTTGGGATAACATTCAAATTAACAAAATGACAATAAGAGGCTAGTAAAATCAATGATTCAGGAAAAAGGTTATACTTTAGACCTATTTATCGTCTTTTATGCTTGAAATTCGATTAAAGTTGCAAATTCGTGCAATTTTAAGCTTATTTGTAATTAAGTTTTCAAGTTGACTGAGCTAAATTTATTGTTCAGTGGTATTTTTTAATAGTTTTTTCTCACTGTTCAAAAGCGTCAAGTTACAAATGATCGTTTATATTTACTTTTAGATTGAATTTGTCTTTCGTTCTTAGGTTACGTGTTTAAATGGATCGGCACTATTTACACTATTTTATTGCTTTTCGGTTTTACTCAGTATAATAAAAGTACGCACTTGAATTTTTTATATGCATTCAGTATTTTAAAGAATTTTTTTATCATTAGTTTTTACATTAAAATATAACTCATGAACTCAGAAATTCAGTTCCTTGCTTGATTTTTCAATCAAATTCAATCAACCAAGAATTTTTCCTATTATTAATTTGGTTAATATAATTCAAATTAACCAAAGCAAATTAAAGTACGCTGAAAATTGAATAAATCATAAGTACTCACGGTAGTAGAAGACTTTAAAATTCTGCGTATTGAATAGATACAATCTTTTCACGAGGTTAAATAACTTAAATATATTACCTATATACACCGAAGAGGCAATACATTATGACCACCCTCCATCTATAACAATGGGCTCGTCCAGGTTTTCATGGTTTCTCGCCCAGGAACAATGTTTTCATGGGGCACATTAGGACCCATAATCCTCATAAAACAATCCCTGACGTCTGTAAGCTACTTGAACATAGTTGCAGACCAGGTTCACCCATTCATGGCAACAGTTTTTCCTGCGG